TCTTTAAACAGGCTGGCCATTCAGCTGCTAGTGAGTCTAATTTTTTTGAGAGGTAGGCCACTGGTCTCTTCCAGGGGCCCAAAGTCTGAGCAAGCTCACCCTTTGCTACACCAAGCCATTCATCTACATAAAGGTAGAAGGGCCTCGAGACATCAGGCAGGGCTAGGGCTGGTGCAGAAGTGAGGGCCTGTTTTAGGTTGTCAAAGGCCTCTTGCTGTTCTTTTCCCCAAGAAAATGTTGAGGGTCCCCCTCTTATTACCTCATATAGAGGCTTGGCCAGCTCTGCAAAACCAGGTATCCATAGGTGACAATACACAGCTGACCCCAGGAATTCTCTGACTTGCCTCTGACTTTGAGGAACAGGGATGTCCAGGGCGGCCTTTTTTCTTGCAGAGGAGAGCCTGTGCAAAACCCCTTTTAATTGAAACCCCAGATATTGTACCTCCTCTTGGCAGATCTGTGCCTTTTTAGCTGACACCTTTTATCCCAAGTGTTGAAGTTCCTTTAACAAGTCCATTGTAGCCTCTAAGCAAGTGGGATGGTCTGGGGTAGTGAGGAGCAAATCATCTACATATTGTAGAAGGGAAACCTGGGGATGGGTAGTTCGAAACTCTCAGAGGTCTTCATGTAGGGCCTCATCAAAGATGGTGGGAGAGTTTTTAAATCCTTGTGGAAGACTTGTCCATGTCAGTTGACCACTAAACCCTTCTTTAGGATCTTGCCATTTAAAGGCAAAGATAAGTTGACTCCCCTTGTCCAGGGGGATGCTGAAAAAGGCATCTTAAAAATACAGGACAGTATAGATTGTCCTGTCAGGGGTCAGGAGCTTAGGAGAGTGTAAGGATTTGGCACAGTGGGGTGTATGTCCATAATGCTCTTATTTATCTCTCTCAAATCTTGCATGGGTCTGTAGTCAGTAGTCCCTGGCTTCTTCACAGGGAGTAGGGGAGTGTTCCAAGGAGATTGGCAAGGGACTAGGATGCCAAATTCCTGTAGTCTTTTTAAGTGAACCCACATAGAGGCTCGTGCTTCAAAAGACATTGGGTATTGTTGTACCCAAACAGGGCTAGCAGTGGCTTCCAAAGTAACTATCATGGGTGGTCGATGGGCTGCAAACCCTGGGGAATTTTCCTCAGCCCAGACTTGGGGAATCTCTTGCATTAATTTAACAGTTAGAGATGGCAATTGATCCAAAGGAGGCCCTTCATGAAGATGGTATTCGTCCTCAGCTCGCAGGGTGAAGACAAATCCAGTGGTCTTTACATTGACCTTATCTTTGTCAAAATGGATTGAGGCACTGAGTTTGCTCAGCAAGTCTCGGCCTAACAATGGATAGGGAGAGTCAGGGATAACCATGAAGGAATGCTGAATCTGTCCTGTACCCAAATTAACAGTTCTTTGAGTAGTCCAAGGATAAGAGTGGCTACCTGCAATTCCTTGAATGTAGGTGTATTGTCATGAGGCCAGTGGGCCAAGGGGCTTCTTTAAAACCAAGAAGTTAGCACCAGTATCAACCAAAAAGTCAACAGGCCTCCCTCCTACTTTTAGGGTTAGCCAGGGCTTGGGGAGGGGAGATGAGCCCTGACCCCCTCAATTATCTAGTTCCAGTAGCTTTTGAGTTCCCTTATGACATTGAGGGCAATCCTGAATCCAGCATCCTATTTCCTTGCAGTAGGCACATTGGTCTCTCTTGAGAGGGCTGTTTTTGGGAGGTGGTCCAGTCTGCCAGCCCTGCTTTCCTGGAAAATATTTTCTTAGGGGATATTTTTCTTCTCTTAATGTTAAAGCTCGAGCCAATTTTCAGTGGTGACGTTCCTCACGTTTCTCCTGCATTTCACGGTTATTAAAAACCTTCTGGGCTATTTTAAGCAATTTAGAGAGGCTCTTACCTTCAAAACCGTCCAGCTTCTATAACTTTTTGCAAATATCAGGTGCTGACTGAGTCACAAAGGCTATATTTATGGCTCATTGGTTCTCAGATGCCTCAGGGTCAATAAGAGTGTAGGCTCTATAAGCTTCCATAAGCCTTTCTAGAAACTGTGCTGGAGCCTCTGTCTGTCCCTGCAAAACCTGACTTTTGACAAATTGTGGGCTTTTGGGCAGCAGCCTGGAGACCCCCCCCCCCATAAGAATCTGGTGATAGGGTTTGAGTGCCTCCCTACCTTCAGGGGTGTTGGGGTCCCATCTGGGGCATCATCGAGGAAAGGCCTCCTCAATCTCTGCTGGATCCTTAATGAATCGGCCATTCTCAGACAGCACCTGTTTCTGGGCCTCTGAGAGGATCCATCAGTGGTAAAGAGAATGAGGAGGAGCTGTTGGACATCATTCCATGTGGGTTGATGGGTAAGGAAAATAGTCTCCAACAATTCAATTAAAGCCTGTGGTTTTTCAGAGAAGGGGGGGGGTTTGCAATTTCCAATTATAAAGGTCACTAGTTGAGAAGGGAGTGTAAACAAGAAAACTATGGCCAGAGGCATCTGGTGGGGCCATAGCACGGAGGGGATCCAAAAGGCAAAAGTAAGCCATAACATAGGGAACCTGATCAGGATGTCCTGGGCTTCCAAAAATCATGGCCTAAAGAGAAGAAAGCTTGTTAATCTCAAAAGAACCAGTAGAGGGCCATCCTACATTAAAAGACGGCCATTCAAGAGAACAAAGGGTCCGGAATTTTCCTGAATAAACAGTATCCTCCAGAGATTGTAGCTGCTTTTTGAAAATCCTTAAAATGAGAAAGAATTAGGTCAAGGGAGTTTCTTCAGATGATGGAGTCTGACCCATGATGGAAAGAAAGAGGACTAATCCAAAACAAAGACCAATAAGAACTAAACAAACAGGACCAGGACAACACAGAACAAAAGCACGGCATGTTGGGGAATTCGCTGTGCGCTGGGGAATTGCTGCTAGGGTCAATGCCAAATGCCCAGAGGGCACAGACAATCAACCTACCAGATGGAGGGTCGGGCATCCCCTGTCCTTCGGCTCAGAGAGCAATACTGCATCCAGTTTCTCTCCTTTGAGCCCCCAGAAGTACAGACACTCTGAACAGAAACCAGAACAGACTCACTGTAGGAGGAACCAGAACTGAAGTCTCCAGGCGCCAGACGGAGATCTGAAAAAGGCAGGAAAATGAACCGAGGGTTTTCAGGGAACCCCGGACGAGCCCCCCAAAATGTTATGGGTCCGTAAAATTCCCTACATTGACCACTCAGACACTGAGTCTCAGTAAAAAGGAGCACTTTATTGAGGCCAACCGGTTGGGGACGCAGACAATCTCAGGAGCTGCCCTGCGACCCTGAACAGTGAAATCGTGGAGCTTTAAGCAGAAAAACCATAAAAACCATAAAGCCGGGGGTTTTCATAGAAACTATACACAGAATAGTCAAGAAAGGAACAACCTAGGGCTGATTTTCAGAGACTTTATCTATACAGTTATTGGCTGTCTTACCTGGGCCAAACATCCTCTCTCTTCTGCCCCAGATCATTTCTATAGAGACCATACACAGATGTACCAAGTATACTGTCATTGGCTAGCTTAGAACATTTTTTCTTTTTTGCCCCAGACCATTCCCATTGAAATCGTAAACAGAAACAAGAAAGGGTTTAAACAATGAAGGAGATTTTCAGAGTCAGGTGGAAGGCAGCTTTTTCTTAGAGGATAGGGAGGGGGTCTGAGAGGCATTGTCCTTCAAACTAACTACAACTGTTGACATGCACAAAAATGTCATAATGAAACCTGCTGTTTTGCATGCTAAGTAAAAAAATGAATTCCAAATTCATGTATCCAAAATTGTGTGTGCATGTGAGTGCAGGCATGGGTGTGGTGGTCAGAGGACATCTTCGAGTGTGGGTCCTCAACATCACCTTGTTTGAGGCAATGTCTTTGTTGTTTGTTGGAGAAATCTCCTGTCTCCACCTCCCATCTTCTTGGACAGCTGTCTTTGAATCTTGATAAACTTCACATATATAAAAATCCATTAAGAGTCAGGCATGATGGCACACACCTGTAATTCCAGCACTTGGGCGGCTGAGGCAGGATGGAGAGTTAAAGGCCAGAGCCTGGCCTAATGGCAAAGACCTGTACTCCCAGCTATGAAGGGGAGGTGGAGGTCAGAAGGATCCTAAATTCAAGGTCTGCCTGTGCTACAGAATGAGGTCAAGGCTAGCCTAGACAACTTGTTGAGCTTCTATATCAAAATAAAAAGTCCAAAAAAATTTTGGTGATGTAATTCAGTGGTAGAGCATTTACCTAGCATGTGTGAGGCCCCAGATTTGGTCCCCAAAGTGGGGGAGTGGTCGTGTTGGAGACCACCCGGGGTTACTGAAACCCTGACTCAGTAAACCAGCAGTAAACAAACAAAATAGTCGATAATGTATCTGAACCAATTTGAGCAACCAGAGGTGTATACAAGTTTAAAAACACCAGATAAATGAATTTCAAAGATGTTAATTATTCTGGATAGAGACATACAGCTCACGTAGAGCCCAGGATCAGCCGGAAAGGTAAAAAGCTCCACCATCGACCTGCACTCTGAGTCCTATGGTAAGAGGCTTTTTTAAAGACAGTGTCTGGGCTATTGTATTCCAGGTTGGTCTCAGGTGAACTTCTGCCCCAGCCTCCTGAGTGCTGGAACTACAGTCGTGCCGCGGTCATGCCTGGCTTTCCATGGGATTTGTCAGCGGCAGGAAGTAGGGACGAAGGGACGTCTTGTGGGCTACCAACAATAGGTCTGCTCTAATTTCACGGGGCCATGGCGCTGCCGTCTTGGGTGTAGTAAAGCGTTCGAGTAGAAGATCCATGAACTACGAAGGTATGGAGGGAGTAGCGTCTTCCGGGTGGAGGGCAGCTTGCCGCAGGCTGAGCACATCCTGGTGAACAGCACTTGTGGAAACCGCAAGGAAACCGAACAAACCGCGTAGAGCCGGCACAGTCGGGAGGACTTACCCCGCCCCCTGGCCTAGCTCTTGGGAACCCGGCGGGAGGCGGAGCCGGGCGCGTCATCTCCCTGAGCCTTCTCCCGGCGCTTGGAGCGAGGTGGTGGTGGTGGTGCGTTTACTGACGTCACGGTCATTGACGGCGTGAGGCCTTGGCGGCTGCTGCGGCCATGGTGGCTGGCGGCCGGGTAAGGGCTTGATCTCCTGTTAACCCAGGGCGGCCTCGGCGGGCATTGGGAGGCCGAGAGTAGGGTGGCGAGGTCGCCGCGTGCAGGCCGGTGTGGCCGCGGGGGGCAGCGGCGTGGAAGCCGGACTGTGTGCACAGGGTCCTGGGCGTGTTGCAGGGGAGCTAGTCTGAGCTAGGGAGGGCGGGGCATTGGAGTACACCTGGGGGCCGCGTCCGCGTCGTCCCGGCTTCCGGGGTCGCGGGCGCGAGCTGAGGCCGTGGGCGAGGGGCTCAGCCTCGCGGGGGAGGTCCAGGCTCACGGCGCCCTCCCTTCCCCTGGCTCGCTCCGGTGGCTTCCGCGGGCTGCAGGTGCGCTATGTCTAGATTGGGGGCCCTGGGCGGCGCCCGCGCCGGGCTCGGACTGTTGCTGGGCACTGCCGCCGGCGTTGGATTCCTTTGCGTCCTTTACAGCCTCCGATGGAGACGGACCCAGCGCCATGGCCGGAGTCACAGCCTGCCCAACTCCCTGGACTATGCACAGCCTTCAGAGCGTGGACGCCAGGGTAAGAGCCGACACTGAGGTCACTACTGACTGATGGCAGAGCCAGTGGACAGGACAGGAAGGGGGACTGAGGACTTCAACCTTTTGGTAAAACGTATTGAAAAAGAAAGCGTTTTCTTTTTCTGTAGTCTTTTATTCCAGTAAAGTTTATTGCGAGAAGACGGCTTAGCTTTCGCTTTTAGTTCTGGCCGCAGTCATGAATATATATTGAAAGTACTTGCATAGTGTTGGGTGAGGAAAGGGATTCTGAAGAAGGAAATAGGAATAATCTGTGGGAATTAATACTCTGGGGGCCTGTATATCAAATGATAGTGCATAGTGTTGGGTGAGGAAAGGGATTCTGAAGAAGGAAATAGGAATAATCTGTGGGAATTAATACTCTGGGGGCCTGTATATCAAATGACGTATTAAAATGTGAAGGGCTTTCAGAGACTAATCCAAGTTTTTCATCCTTTTTTTGGCGGGGGCGGTCTCCCTATAGCCCCAACTGACCTGGAACTCACTATGTAGACCAGGCTGGCCTCGAACTCATAGAGATCCGCCTGCCTCTGCTCCCAAGTGCGTTCCGGGACTAAAGGCATACTCACCATGCCGGCTTTTCATCCTTTTTAAAGGGAATTAGTTCAGAGGAATTGCATAACTTTCCCAAGGGTAAGTGGCAAGGTTGGGCCTGGTCATTTGGTCCAGTGTACTTTCCACAGGATGGCCTGAGAGCATGCTCATACAACCGAAGCTAAATGGCTGGAAGCCAGCAGTCACTGATGAAATGGGTTCAGTTTTGTAAAACCTTCAGGTTAACGTGGTTAAGCAAAACATCAAAGACTGGTACTAATCATTGCCCCAATTTTGGGTAATAGAGGATTGTTTAGATCCTCTCCGTGCTAATGGGAAATTAGTCTTTTCCCTGACTTCTTATGTTAGATGGTTTGGAAAAGTTATTTCAAGCGTATTCCCACACTTATCACCTTAGATTGCAGCTGTCAGCATTTGATAACATGGCGATAATGTAGCTTGGCAGGTGTAGCATCTCTTCCTTGTGTTGTGCTCATATGTTTGTCATTTCTTTGCAATAGTCTGTATTCTACTGAGCTTGAGGGAAAGTGGCTACATTGCAGTTTTTTTTTTTTTTTTTTTTTTTTTTTTTTTTGGTGGGGTCTCACTGTGTATCCCTGGCTTACCTGGAACTCATTATATAGACCAGGCTGGCCTCTAACTTGAACTCACAGAGATCCACCTACCTCTGCCTCCCAAGTGCCCAGGTATTGTTCTTGCTGTTGGGTATTAGGGTTTAGTCTAGATTTCTTTTAAGAAATTTATTCCTGTGCTGTGGGCCCTGCCTTCCTGAGTTCTTCCCTGTTTTTGCATTTCCAATCCATTGTTTTAAATGGTTACCAAGGTGCTAATACTCCACTGATCTCAGAGTTGGGCAGGTAAGGCTTGGTAATGGTGTTTTTCTCATGGGTTTGGCTGGTTTTCTTCCCCATTGTGCCTCTTTTGGTGAATGAATGTCCATTTTCTTTTTGCCTTCTCTGATGATACTAATTATGATCTCAAGAGAGACCGTTTACTATTTGTGAAGGGATCAGAATTTGAACAAACTCAATTTTAGTTTCACTGTCTAGTTGGTATTGACTGCTTGGTATTTGGTACCAAAAAGTCAGAGAAAGATTTTTCTTTGTGTGTTTGCTTTCTCACATACATAGTTCAGGCGGGCTTCACTGTATAGCTGATGTTGGTCTTGAACTCCTGATCTTCCTGCCTTTACCTCTGAAGTGCTGGAATTTCAGGTGTGGGCTACCACTCCTGCTCATAGGTTTTTCTTTAACTCTAGTAGGGCAGCTGGCCTGTCTTCTAAGTACCACACCCTTGCACGCATTTTACATTATCTGCTGTCTGCAGCATAGACCCTGACACAGAAGGTTTTTTGAAGCGGATGGCCTTTCTTTAAAGATTGGGGCCTTAAATTATTTTTTCATTTTGTGTGTGTGTGTGTGTGCGTGTGTAGGTGGGGGTGGGCATCTACTATAGCACATGTTTAGACATTAGAGAACAATTTGTGAGAGTTAGTTCTCTTCCTCCAGTATGTGAGTCCTGGAGATCAAATTCAAGTGCTTTACTCACTGAGCCATCTTGCTGGCCTGGACCTTAAGTTTTTTTCTGGATGGTTACTTGGAACTTGTACCATGATCTAGCTGTGAATGTGTGCTATCAAAGGTTCAAGGTTTTTGTAAATTGAATGCCAAGAGGAGCCAATGCTTTTAAAACTGTAGTTGTGGGTTTTGCCCCATGGGTGTCCCTGTCTCTTATTCCCCTTCAGTGATGCAGTTTTGGGCCATCCCAGGTGAAGCTGGAGATGCTGCAGTGCTACCAAGCCTTCCACAGGAAGGACAGGAGAAGGTGCTGGACCGCCTGGACTTTGTGTTGACCAGTCTTGTGGCACTACGGCGGGAGGTAGAGGAGTTGCGCAGCAGCCTGCAAGGGCTCGCTGGGGAGATTGTTGGAGAGGTCCGGTGAGTGACTTGGATCTCTCTTGCTTTGCCCCACCCCTCAACTTTGCTTGACTCCACCAGCTTTTTCAGCTGGAGTATATTGTGGCTTTTGTGGTCTACAAAGAAACTAGTTTTATAGTTTCTAACCTAATGTGGACAGAGCTGCACATCTATTTCCTTTCCTTGCCCAAGCTCCTTGCTGCACCTGGCCCTCATGTGTCTACTGCAGCAGCTGAAACTCTGTTCTTCCCAAGTGTGCCATGCAGGATGGGCCCCACGGGCTGCCCTTGCTCTCCTGAAGGTTCTTTAATGAGGAGTGAGGGGAAAGCCTGGGCGGATCCTAATGGTTCCTCAGGAATAGGACCTGCTTTCCAGATCTCATATAGAGGAGAACCAGAGAGTGGCTCGGCGGCGCCGATTCCCTTTTGCCCGGGAGAGGAGTGACTCTACTGGCTCTAGCTCTGTCTACTTCACGGCATCTTCTGGAGCTGCGTACACGGATGCTGAGAGTGAAGGGGGGTGAGTTTTCTCTCCTGGAGGCCATTGTGACTGCAGACATTGTGTTTTGTCAAGGTACAGTTTATCAATAGGAAAATCCAAACCAAGGTGCTGTAATAATTGTTGGAACAAGATAAGGGTATGACTAAGTGGAAGCAACCCCCAGTTCATGCCATTGAGACAAATGGGAGTGTTAGCAGTTATTAGGATCTGCATCTGTTATTTAAGAGTTAATTTTTGTTTTTGACATAGTGTCTCCTTGTAGCCCTAGCTGGGATTTGCTGTGTAGACTAGGTTGGCCTTGATCTCACAGAGATCCATCTGCCTTTGCCTCCTGAGTGATGGGATTAAAGGTCTGTACCACCACACCCAGCCCAAGCTGTCTGGAACTCACTATGTAGACCAGGCTGGCCTTGATCTCACAGAGATCTGCCTGCCTCTGCCTCCCGAGTGCTGGGATTAAAGGCATGCGCCAACATGCCCAGTTTTTTACATCATTTTTGATGGGCATTTTTCTCTGTTAAGGATTTAGTAAGCATGTTTTCATAACTTTGTTCCTTTCCAAGTGGTTAAGCAGGGTGTGCTGAGGTCTAGTGCGTGCTCCCTTTCCCTAGGTGTTATTCTCATAGGGGAGCCTTGCCAAAACACTCTTGCATTTTTACTGTTGGGAGGTGACTGTCCCAAGTTCTCAGTGACCCAGCATGTCTGACCATAGACTTTATTGTGAGGTAGGACAGCGGGCAGGACAGCCTCCTTCAAGCTTGGTCAGGTGAAGGACTTTTTAATTTTAAACCTCTGACACCATTTTGAAACTTTGGTCCCAAGAATGGTCTGATGCTCTCAGTGGCAGCATCTGCCCTTGTCTGCTGCTAGTGCCAGTCATCCAGCTGGCCTGTGAGAATTAGAGGCTCCTGGGCATCCTCTACTGACCTTTGTTCTTCCTCAAGGAAAGAACTGGGTCAGAGAACAGCCAAACTTAAGTGAGGTCAGAGTGGCTGAGTAAGCTAGAACATGACCATGGCAAGTAGAAGTCAAAATTGGCCATGCAGGGTGCTCTCTGAAGAGTCTTTCTTCAGCAGGCACACCTTATAATACTAGCTTCCATTTATTATTTACTTCCTCCAGTATTGTGCTTTCTTACTTAATTCTCATAATAATCCTGTAATTTAGGTCCTGCTCTTCTATTATTCAGATAGTGAACTTGAGCTTATTGAGGTTTGACACTCAGATCAGTTATACAATTATCAAGTGTAGCCTTAGCCTGCCCATCACTAATCTCATTGTCCTGACAGCTGGACTCACCTGTAGCAGTGTTTGGATCTGTGATCCGAGGAGGGGCCCTGTCTTCAGGGCACATGTGGCATCCGAAAGAACATTTTTTTAATGGGCATTTTTCTGTGTTATTTTAAGGATTTAGTAAGCATGTTTTCATAACTTTGTTCCTTTCCAAGTGGCTAAGCAGGGTGTGCTGAGGTCTGGTGCGTGCTACATGCAGCATGTAGCCCTTGGGACTTTTTCCCACTTGCTCTGCACATCTTACTTTTTTTTTTCCTTTTTTGAGACAGGGTCTCCCTGTAGCCCCAGCTGGTCTGGAACTCACTATGTAGACCAGGCTGGCCTTGAACTCACAGAGATCGGCCTGCTTCTGCCTCAGGAGTGCTGGAATTAAAAGCATGCACTACCCCTCCAGGCTTGCACATCTTACTGTAGTCTTGTTTGTTTGGAGCTGTTATTTTTTTCTGTCTCTTTGGTTCTTTCTTTTTCTTGTGCTGGGGGTCAAACCCAGAACCTCCCACACACATACTAGGCAAATACTATGCCAGGAGGTTACATCCTCAGCCCTTCATTTGGTCATATAAAAAAATTAAGAATAGGAGCTGGAGAGATGGCTCAGCAGTTAAGAGTACTGGCTGCTCCTACAGAGAACCTGGGTTTGATTCCCAGCACCCACATGGCAGCTAACAACTGTCTGTAACTCCATTTCCAGGGGATCTGACTCCCTTTTCTGACCTCTGTGGGCATTGCACAACCTGGGTGCACCTACGTATGTGCAAGCAATTCACTCATACACATAAAATAAAAAACTGATAAATAAAATACTTTAAAATAAGCTGGGCATGGTAGCGCACACCTTTAATCCCAGCACTCGGGAGGCAGAGGCAGGCGGATCTCTGAGTTCAAGGCCAGAGATCTACATAGGTCTACATAGTGAGTTCCAGGACAGCTGAGGCTACAGGGAGACCCTGTCTCAAAAAAAGACCGACAAAACAACAGCAGCAGCAACAACAAAAAGAATAGGGGCTGGAGAGATGGCTCAGTGGTGAAGAGCACTGACTGCTCTTGCAGAGGACCTGGGTTCGATTTCCAGCACCCACATGGCAGCTACGAAACATCCTTAACTCCAGTTCCAGGGGAATCCAAAACCCTCTTCTGACCTCCGCAGCATTGCATGACACGGGTGCACTCACATACACACAGGCAATACACTCATACACATAAAATAAAAATAATAAATAAAATACTGAAAAAAATAAAGTTACTCTCCTTTTCCATGTTACTGCCATTCATCATTAATGGTAGGTTAGATTTCTGCTCAGGTGCCTCTTGAAACAAATGAAGTTTTTAGTTTTGGTGCCAGGGATTGAGCCTAGAGCCTCACGCATGCTAAGTGTAGCCCACTCCTGAGCTGCATAAACAAGTGATATCTTACTGCAGTGATGTCTGCCACAGAGCTCCAGCCCTTCGTTCATTACTACTGTTGTCTGGTCTCTGTACACTTGAAGGCTAGCACAAGCAGCCTGTTTCTGTTAACCATAGCTCTCTGCCAAGAGGTGCTTCCTTAGAGTATGTCAGAGGGAACAAAACTGAAATCAATATTTGACACATTTGGATGACAAAGAAGTAGTTGATAGTGAACACTGACTAATGAGCATCCCTGTGCAATGAGGAACCAGTCCACTTACGTGGGAAACTGATACTTGACTTTTATTTTTCTGTGTGTGAGTGTGTGTGTGTGTGTGTGTGTGTGTGTGTGTGTGTGTGTGTTTTCATGTTCCTCAGGTGTACATGCTTGGAGGCTAGAGGACTATGGTATTCTGTTTTGTCACTCTTCACCTTATCCCCTTGAGACAGGGTCTCTCACTGAACCTGGAGCTAGGCTGTTAGCCAGCAAGCCCCAGCAGCCCTCCTGTCTCTGCCTCCCATAGTGCTGAGGTTTCAGGTGCACACAACCTCACCTAGCTTCTGGGGATTTGAACTCTAGTTTTCATGCTCGTATAGCAAGCACTCTTATCCACTGAGACATTTCTCCAGCCCTCTGTGAGCTTTTATAAGAGGGAAGGAGAGCATTGATAAAGGAAAACGTAGAACTGGGGTTATTAATGATGTTTGGGTGTCTTTTGGGGTGCTTTCTTTGTTTTGTTTTGAGATAGGGTCTCACTTTGTAGACCAGGCTGGTCTTTAACTCACAAAGAAAAGTTTACTACACTCCAAGAGGCAGCAGACTGGGCAGTAACAAGAGTACCACCACCTTAACTGATGATTTAAAGAAACCATATAAACTTCACGTCAGACGTGCAGGCATGGTGGTACACGCCTTTAATCCCAGCAGAGGCAGGTGTGTGTTCAAGGCCAGCCTGGTCTACATAGTGAGTTCCAGGCCAGCTGGGACTACAGGGAGACCCTGTGTCATTTAAAAAAAAAAGTAACCTATAAACTTCTAAGGTCAGCCAGGTATGGTGATACTTGATAGTAATCTCAGCACTCAGGAATCTGAAGCAGGAGGATTGTAAATTTAGGAAGTTTAGGGGTCAGCCTGGACTACAGTTAAGTATGAGGCCAGCTTGGCCTACTTAGTAAGACCCTGTCTCAAAAAGCCAGATAAACAAATCTCCTGGGGTCAGAGCTAGAGTGGGTGCCTTTACTGCTTGGAGTAGTCACTGGCACTCCCATAGCCACAAGGAATAGACAAGGCAGTGAAGGGTTGGGTGGCTTTCTTAATTACGGCTCCAGCAGGCTCAGCCCCATGACCTGTGGCACGTGAAAGCTAGTAGTAGTGCAAGACTCCGAAGCTTAGCTGGCTGCTATCTGGGGCAGTGTCCATGGTGAATAATTTGTTATAGTAGGTGCTATGTAGGTCAAAGAGAAATTCTTGGAGGAGGTCACAGAGTCTGAAGGACTTCAAGCATGTGGGCCTTAGGAAGGAGAGAACCTCTCTGAGGAATGATTTGATGGACTGCTATATTTTACTGACGGTTATACTCTCCCTTTTTTAAAATTTATTTTTTATTAGAAATTTTTACATTTTTAGCTGGGCGTGGTAGCTCACATCTTTATCCCAGCACAGGGGTAGGGGTGGGGTGGGGGTGGGGTGGTGCAGAGGCAGGCAGATCTCTGAGTTCGAGGCCAGCCTGGTCTACAAAGTAAGTTCTAGGCCAGCTCGGGAGACCCTGTCTCAAAAAAACAAATTATTTTACATTTTTATTTTGTGTGTGTGTATGTGTGTTCGTGTGTGTGACACAGTGCACAGGTGGAGATCAGAGGACAACTTGTGGTAATCAGTTCTGTCCTCCACAGTGTGAGGCCTAGGACTCAAACTCAGGTTGTTTGGCGTCAGATGTGCCTTTACCATCTTACTAGCTCTGTATTTCTGCTTTAAAAAAAGCATAACAAGTTTAAGCTCCCAGGCGTTGACTGGCTATGGCAGAGACAGAATCATTGTACAGGTTTGTGAGCTTTTTTCCAGGGCGTTGTACCAAACACAGTTTGGTGCTCTCCTTGGAAGAACCCAGCTTGACTTCGAACACCAGCCTCCCAGGCATCCCAGCCAAACATTTTCATCTTCACTCTTTGAGTACTTCTCACCTCCTTTATTTTGGGTGTTAGGTGTCCTATATCTACTACTGAGATACCCTGGGGTCAGGGCTTTGCTTGGTCATCTCTGAATGCCTGAGGCTCAGGTCTTTACTGGGAAGCAGAAGAGGTGAAAGAAATTTGCCAAAAGCAGGAGTAGACATACGGAAAACTGAGTCTTTGATTTATTTATTTATTTTTTTTCTCTTTTTGAGACACAATCTCCCTGTAGTCCCAGCTGATCTGGAACTATGTAAATCATCACAGAGATCCTCCTGCCTCTGCCTCCTGAGTGCTAGGATTAAAGGTGTGCGCCACCATGCCCGGCCTGATTTTTTATTTATTTATTTTTGTCTTTTTTTGAGACAGGGTCTCCCTGTAGTCCCAGCTGTCCTGGAACTTGCTATGTAGACCAGACTGGCCTTGAACTCACAAAGATCTGCCAGCCTCTGCCTCCCAAGTGCTGGGATTAAAGGCATGCATCACCACACCTGGCAGATTTTTTTTTTTAATTAAAAAAAATTATTTTCATTTTATGTGTATGAGTGTATTGCCTGCATGTGTGTAAGTGTACCCATGTTGTGCAAGGAGGTCAGAAGAGGCCATCAGACTGGAGTTATTGAACAGTTGTTAGCTGCCATGTGGGTGCTGGGAATTGAACCCAGATCCTCTGCAAGAGCAGTCAGTGCTCTTAACCACTGACTATAACTATAACCTCTTTAGTGCTGGGGCTCCTAGGAACCACCTGGCTTATGACAGGCCAGAGATGACATCCTAGAGGGGTGCTTACATCTTTTTCCTTTCTTGTTTCCAACTCAAAGTGACCTCCCTCCCGCAACCACTCTCTTACCTTCCCAAGTTCCTAGGGACTTCTCTTTGTCATTGAGGTTTGGTTGCTGACGTGGGTCATAGGTACAAGTTGGAGAAAGAGAATGTGGAAATGAGTGGCTGTTATGGCATCAGAGGCTGGTACCCATGCATGTAGCTTCCGGCAGATGCCCTTGCTGATAAAGAAGATTAACAAATCCTTAGCACATCAGTGTAGCACAGATCATCTCCTATATTTATAAGGTTATTTCCTATCCACCTCTCCCAGTCTTTCTGCTGTAGTGCTGGGGATGAATGCAGGGCCTTGTGTGAATGATAGGCAAGGCTGTACTGAGCCATATCCACTGCCACAGTCTTTTTCCATTGTTAAATTTTAAAAAATGTTTTAATTTTATTTACTGTGTGTATGTGTATACACAGACACACAGACACACACACACACACACTCAGGCATGCACATACTACATGTGTGAAGGTCAGAGGACAACTTGCAGAATCATTTCTCACCTTTCCTTATGGGGTCAGGTTGGGGGTTAAAACTCAGGTCATCATGTTTGTGCAGCAAGTGCTTTAACCCACTGAGCCATCTTGCTGGGTTTTTTCTTTCTTTCTTTTTTTTTTTTAAAAGACATTCTTTCTGTTTGGTCTTATGTAGCCCAGACTAGCTTCAAACTTGCTATGTAGCCAGGGATGACCTTGAACACCTGATCCTCTTGTTTCCACCTCCCAAGTGCTGGGATTGCAGATGTGCACCATCACACCCAGACTCCAGCCCAGTGAAACATTTCTCTTCAGACAGGGTTTATGTTACCGAGGCTGGCCTTGATGGATTTGATCTCTGGATGTCCTCCTGCCTTAGTTTCTGCAGGCTGGGATTATAAGTGTATGCTACCACATCCAGATTAAACATTTATTTATAAAAAGAACATGTGTCTTCTGAAGCAACCACATAATGTTGGAAGATAGAAGGAAAACTACCTTTTATTCCTCTACTTTTAGCAATATTCTGAACTTATCTTTCTAGGTATTTTTTTTTTTTCCTTTGTTTTCTGTTAGTTTGGTAGTAGCTAAGCAGAGGGGTCTGATATTGACCCTGACCAGCACAAAGACTACAACTTACTGGATACTTTCTTCTTCCCTGATCATTTTCCCAGCTTATAGTTCCCACAGGAAGCTTTCTCTTGAAGAGAGTTTCTGCCCTTAGGTAATGGAAATGATTCTATTATTTTTTATGTGTATGAGTGTATTGCCTGCATGTTTAAGTGTGTCTGTGTTGTGCAGTGCCAGTGGAGGTCAGAAGAGGGTGTTGGATCCTCTGGAACTAGAGTTACAGTTGTTAGTAGCTCTGTGAGTGCTGGGAACTGAACCCAGGTCCTCTGCAAGAGCAGCCAGTGCTCTTAACTGCTGAGCCATTGAGCTATCTCTCCAGCCCCATGGAAATTTTTTTTTTTTTGGAGACAGGGCCTCCCTGTAGCCCTGGCTGGCCTGGAGCTCGCTAGGTAGAACAGGCTGGCCTTGAACTCACAGAGATCCATCTGCCTCTGCCTCCTGAGTGCTGGGATTACAGGTGTGCACTACCATGCCCAGGTGGAAATGATTCTTATTGGGCTCTTTGGACAACAATGCTACATAGTCCTGTGGAGAACAAACCTTAGGGGCTTCCTTAACCCTGTCATTTAAAATTCTCTGCCAGGTATACAACAGCTAATGCTGAATCTGATTACGAGCGGGACTCTGACAAGGAGAGTGAGGATGGGGAAGATGAAGTGAGCTGTGAGACTGTGAAGATGGGGAGAAAGGATTCTCTGGACCTGGATATGGAGGTAGCTTCAAGTTCAGTGTCTGGCACCCTGGAGGCTGAAGGCTCCTCAGGCCTTGAGGATGTACTGCTGCTCCTGAGGCAGGCAGATGAGCTGCATCAGGGCAGTGAGCAGAACAAGCAGGAAGGCTTCCAACTGCTGCTCAACAATAAGCTGGCGGTGAGACTCCAACTGCCTGTCTACTTCTCTTCCTCCTTTCCTCCTCCCTTAAATCTCAACCCTAGAAGATGAAAGAAGGCCCATGTGGTTACTGACCTATAAAACAATATGGGAAAGGAAAGGAGATGGGCATGAAATGGCCACTTCTGCATCTATCCTGTTAGTTGCATATCTTCCAAAGAGGTCCTGAAGCTAGTTCCTGCCCCTGGAAGGAGCATGGTCTTCTACCTCCTATAGAGCTGCAAAAAGAGTTCCACCTTTTGTGGAAAATGTGAAAAAAAGAGCTAGGCATGGTGGCACATGCCTTTAATCCCAGCACTTGGGAGGCAGAGGCAGGTGATTGTCTGAGTTTAAGGCCAGCCAGAAATACATAGTGAGACCCTGTCTCAAAAAACAATAGACAAGGGGCTGGAGAGATGGCTCAGTGGTTAAGAGCACTGACTGCCCCAGCACCCACATGGTGACTAACAACTGTCCATAACTCCAGTTCCAGGGGATCCAAGTCCCTCTTTGGACCTCCTCAGGCATTGCATGACATGGGTGCACTTACACACATACAGGCAATACACTCATATACATAAGATAAAAATAGTAAAATATAGTCGGGCATGGTGGCGCACGCCTTTAATCTCAGCACTTGGGAGGCAGAGGCAGGTGGCTCTTTGTGATTTCAAGGCCAGCCTGGTCTACATAGTGAGTTCAGGTCAGCTGGGACTACAGGGAGACCCTGTCTCAAAAAGACGGAAAAAAAAAAAAAAAAAGTAAAATATAATAAAATAATTCTAAAAAAAACAGCAAAAAACACCCAAAATCAAAATGTGGAAAGAACTGGAATTCTCCCCTCCCCCCGCAATTTCTCCTGTTTTCCTTCTGGCAGAACCCAGTCTACCTTCTCTACTTGAAGTTTCTATCATAAGTGACAGTTGTGTGGGTCACTAAGTTCCCCTCTTCTCAGGCTCACTGCCATAAATCCCTCCCTAAAATGAGAATTCTTCCTTTTTATGGGCAATTTTATGTATCTGCAGAGGACTTTCTTTACTGTGTTTCATTATATCTTGGAGTTGACCTTTCCTCCTGGCAGTATTAGGCCAGAATGTTCTCATCCTTTGATTGTGCAAGCTATCAACTACAGATAATGTCTTTAGTTAAATTTGCATGTCAAGTGTGGGGTGGGAAGGCTGCACAGGGTTGACCTCATGTTAGTGTACCACTATCTTGGAACCAAACTTAAGGTGTAGGGGGAAGGCCAGGGGCCCCATTCATGACGAGGAACCTCATTTCTTTTGGTTTGGACTACAGTATGGTGGCCGACAAGACTTTCTATGGCGCCTGGCCCGGGCCTACAGTGACATGTCTGAGCTCACTGAGGAGGAGAGCAAGAAGAAGTCATATGCCCTAAATGGTAAGAGCTGACAGATTTCTAGTGGGAAGGTAACAGATTGTGCAGGTACAGCTGGCCCATCCGCTTGGGGCCCAGGGGAATCACCAGGATACTGTCAGGGCGGGAGTAGTGTACTCAGTAGCGACAGACTGGCTCCCAAGGCCCCTTGCTTCTTCCTCTGAAGATGTGGTTTTGAGACACTATGGTCTGCATATCCTCACATCATAGGTGCTTATTGCTTTTAGTGTTTATGTCATAGCATTATTCTTTGCATTCTCTTCCCAACTAGAAAGGGCCTCCTCCTTAACCATAGGAGGTTTTACTTACTGCTTAGAAATCTAGAGCCAGCAGGGTAGGGAGTCCAAGACTTAGTGAAGTCTATATGTGAACACCTAGGAGAAATGGTTTGGGAGATTACTGCTATCTTATATATAAAGTCCCTAGGATCCTCTTAGCAAGTCGGCTGACCTAAGTCTCAACCCTGGAGAGTAAGATGCAACTGACCTGTGCCAGGTTCAGGACTTGACCTTCTCTGTCATGAGGTGAGAGAGTACTGATTAATTTTTTTTATTTTTTGGTCTTTTTGAGATAGTCTCCCTGTAGCCCCAGCTGTCCTGGAACTCACGATGTAGACCAGGCTGGCCTTGAACTCACAGAGATCCACCTGCCTCTGCCTTCTGAGTGCTGGGATTAAAGGCGTGCGCCACCACACCCGGCCCAGATATTTTCTTTTTTTTTCTTTTTTTTGAGACAGGGTCTTTAGCTCCAGCTGTCTTGGAAGTCACTATGTAGACCAGGCTGGTCTTGAACTCAGAGATCCACCTGCCTCTGCCTCCCAAACGCTGGGATAAAAGGTGTGCGCCACCACCTCCAGCTGAGTACTGATTTTTTTTTTTTTTTTGGTTTTTTTGAGACAGTGTCTCTCTGTAGCCCCAGCTGTCCTGGAACTCACCACACCTGGCCCCCGAGTACTGGTATTTTTAAAAAAGAAAACTGGGTGTGGTAGTTTACATCTGTAATCCCAACACTTAGGGGGTGAGAAGTTTGCCATGAGGTCCAGGCTCAAATATTGTTTAGTATTCCTTTTCAAAGTTTTCTGCTTTCAGCTAGGTGTGGGTGGTATATACCAGTAATCCCAGCATTTAGGAGGATCATGAGTTTGAGATCAGTTTAGGTTACATGAGACCCTGTCTTAAAAATAAAAACCTTGGAGACAGTGTCTTAATATCTGTCCTCCAGTATCTGTTCAATAGAGATTTACCATTACACTGGGGGGAGGGTGATGTTTTAACTCCTAAATTTCAGGTGATGAGGGACTGGAGAGATGGCCCAGCAGTTAAGAGCACTGGATACTCTTACAGATGACCCTGCTTCAAACCCAGCAGTTGACAGCGAACAACTGTCCCTAACTGCAGTTCCAGGGGATCTGACACCCTCTTCTGACCTCTGTGGGCAATTCATGACATGGGTGTACTTACACTTCCATACGTGCAGGCAATACATTCATACACATAAAATAAAAATAATATTAAAAATTTCAGGTAATGATTCTGATCAGCATTTGTGCTGATTTTTGATCTGTTGGTACCAATAATAACCAAAAGGATTTCCTCTGACCATTTCTCCCTCTTCCTTGTAGGACTTTTTGTTACTATTAAAAGTCTTAAGCTGGGGGTGGGGTAGAGTGAAGAGATAGCTCAGCTGTTCAGACCACTGGCTACTCTTGCAGAAGACTGGGGTTCTGTTCCCAGCACCCACATGTAGTGACTAACTACCACCAGTTCCAGGGAATCTGATGCCGCCGCCTTGCTTCTGTGAGCATTGCATGCACATGGTACATGTTTATCCATGCAGACAAAACACTTATACATAAAAACTTTTAAAAAGTCCAAGCTGGATATGTCATCTCAGCACTGGTAAGGCAGAAGGGCCAAGACAAGTTTGAAGCCAACCTGGTCTACATAGTGAGTTCTGGGGCAGAAATTTAGTGAGAGTGTCTCAAAAAATAAAACCCATATTATGAAGAGGATATAGCCTTTTCTATGTCTTTTCCAATGTTGTCTTTAAAATCATTTGTGCCTTTAGGGTCATGATATCCATCATCATCTGAACTGGGAAAGACCTGTTGGTGCTGAATATTTTTATATATTTTTATCTTATGTGTACAAGCATTTTACCTGCATAGATATAAGTGCACCATGTGCACACAGTGCCCATGGAGGCCAGAAGAGAGAGTTGGATCCTCTGGAACTGGAGTTATAGATTGTTAGCTGCCATGTGAATGGTGGGAACTGAACCCAGGTCCCTTTGCAAGAACAGCTAGTGCTGTTAACCATTGAGTCATCTTTCCAGCCCCTAGTTGAAGGAGTTTTGTTTTGTTGTTGTTGCTGTTTTGTTTTGAGACAGAGTCATGTCCAGGATTCCCTTGAACTAGATCCTCCTGCCTCTGTCTCTCAAGTTCTGGGATTTTAGGCATACACCACCATGACTAGGTATAGTTGAGTTTCTTAAAACTGTGACAGAACAAGGCACATAAACTAGGGTAGTCTGTCTTTGAAAAAATTTTGACAGGGTCTTACTATGTAGCTTGCCTTGAACTTGAGATCCTCTGCCTTAGCCTCCCAAGTGCTGAAATTACAGATTACAGACATTTGCTCCATTGGTAGTTTTTTTTTTTTTAGTCTCTTTGAGACAGGGTTTCCCTGTAGCTCCAGCTGGCCTGGAACTTACTATATAGGCCAGGCTGGCCTCAAACTCACTGAGCTCTGCCTGCCTCTGCCTTCCAAGTGCTGGGATTAAAGGCGTGCACAACCATACCCCGCTATACCATTATTTCTTGTATTGACCATAGCAGCTGCTTTCATATCATAGCAATCTTTTTAAAAACCAAATCAACCACTTTCTTCTTGTCTCCCTTTTGTCATCTTTTGTAGGTACTTGTTCTTGCAGGTTGCCACAGTGCTTTCCAGAGAGCCAGAAAGGCCAGTCATTTCCTATTAGTGTTCATAGCTAGCATGAACCCTTAAGGCAGAGGTTGGGGAAGGGTTAGAGGGTAGCTAGAGCTAGCACTTAAATTTGTTCTGGTGTTTGAACACTGCCACCTTAGACAAGTCTGTTCTTACTGGAGGTCAAATGATGTGGAGTGCCTTTGAAGGTTCTACTTTGGGATTGTAGGCTTGAAGAAGCACCCTTACTGGGTTGAACGTTCATTCTGTTCTCTCTAAAAGCTGGACCACAGGAAGTCATCAGTGAATCTCAGATACGTTATTCACCTATCTGGTGTAAAAGAAAGTCGTTATCACATTCTTTGTTGTTGGTTTTGTTTGTTCTTTCTAATAAGAGTGCTTTGAAGGAGGCAGTGAGAACTATCCTAAGAGGTAGTATTTCTCATGAATGGACCATATTGTCCTTTGGAAAGGGAGATGTAGTGTCCTACATAGCATTAGTTGTCTTAAAAGGGTAGGTCAGGCATGGTAGCACATGGCAGAAACAGGTGGATATTTGAGTTCAAGGACAGCCTGATTCTAGACTGTCCAGGGCTACATAGTGAGACTCTGTCTGAAAACAAAAACAAAAAGTATATTCGTTGTATAAACAATGTAATTTTCAATCAAATATCAAATACTTGAGAATAACCGAGCAAACAATTATCCAGTTTACATACCACACTAATTTCATTTTTTCCATGGTCCTTTCCACTTTTCTGCATTTCGATCAAAGGGGAAATCCCATTTTTGTGGTATGCTCTTTTCCTCCAGTGTAGACACAATGGTTGTCTTCTGAAGGTCTATGGACACCAGCCTACTTACTTACTACTTTATGGGACCCTTATCAGGAGCTTTCATGAGTTCAGACTGGCTGGTTGGTCTTGACGCCTAGAAAACTTGGTAAAGGGCCTGGAGAGATGGCTCAGTGGTGAAGGGCACCACCTCCTCTTCTGGAAGACCTGGATTCGGATTCCAGCATCCACATGGTGGCTAACAGCTGTTCATAACTCCAGCTCAAGGAGATTTGACACCCTCTTCTGACACAGATACATATGTGCAGGCAAAACACTCATACACATTAAATAAAAATAAATTTAAAACAAACTTTTAACCAAGACTTATAAGAAAGCAATGGGGCTAGGAATATAGCTCAATTGGCAGAGTACCTAGCATACAGGAAGCCCTGGGTTCAGTCCCCAGCACCTCATAAAACTGGGTATGGTGGTGCTGACCTGTAATCCTTGAATTTGGGAGGTGAAGCAGGTGGGATCAGAAGTTCAGTGTCATCCTTGGATATATAGTTTGGTCCAGCTAACCTGGGCCACAAGAGACCCTATCTTTTTTTTTCTGGTCTCTTTTGAGACAGGGTCTCCCTGTAGCCTCAGCTGACCTAGAACTCACTATGTAGACCAGGCTGGCTTTGAACTCACAGAGATCTGCCTGCCTCTGCCTTATGAGTGCTGGGAGTAAAGGTGTGTGCCACCATGGCTGGCTGAGACTATCATTAAAAAAAAAAAAAAAAAAAAAAATAGGGGCACTGTCATGATGGCTCAGTGAGTAAAAAGTGCTTGCCATTCACCCCTGAAAACTTGCATTTGATTCCTGGAACCCACATAAAAGTGGAAAGAGAGAACACACACAGATGTGCTCTGTGGCATGTGTGCCCCCCTCCCAAATTATACAATTAAAAAAACAAAAGAGCCAGGCATGGTGGCGCACGCCTTTAATCCCAGCACTTGGGAGGCAGAGGCAGGCGGATCTTTGTGAGTTCAAGGCCAGCCTGGTCTACATAGTGAGTTCCAGGACAGCTGGGCTACAGGGAGACCCTGTCTCAAAAAAAAAGACAAATAAAAGATTGGAGAGAGGACTTGGGTTCAGTTCTCACTATGGCTCCAGGGGATCCAGTGCCCTCTTCTGGTCTCTGAGGGCACTTGCACTCATGTGCACAAACCCACACAGACACAGATACATATACTTAAAAAATAAAAATCTTAAAAAAATCATCTCTGGTCAGACAGTATTTTAGTTGGCTTTTGTCATAAAATTTTGGCCTAAGCTAGAGGTGTAGCTCAATGGTAGCGTGCCTAATGTACCAAGTGTATGGTCCTGCTTTTGATACTTAGCACCAGAAAAAAAAAAAGGGTGCAGACTTAAATCTATAATAAACCTAGATTTTGGGGGGAGGTGCACAAGTATATGGTGTACTTGTGTGTATGCCTATTTGTGTATGGCCTGGAGACCAGATGTTGATGTCAGATGTTTTACTCTATTCTTCACTTTATTTAATGAGGCAGGGCTTCTCACTGAACCCAGAGCATGCTGTTTCAGCTAGTCTAGCTTGCCAACATGCCCCAGGGATTCCAACTCTGTCTCCCAAGCTCAGGTGTTACAGGCAGGCCACTATGCCTGCCCAACTTTTATGAGGATGCTGGAATCTAAACTGTTGTCCTCATATGTCTATAGCAAGTGCTTTGTCCACTGAGACATTGCCCTAGCTCCCTATGGATCTTTTTTTGGGATTTTTTTTTTAAAACAGGATCTTACTCTGTAACCAAGACTGGTCTCAAACTCATGACCTTCCTGCCTAAACTCCTGAATGCTTGGATTATGAACTTTTGCCACCCACACTTGACTTGCCAGAATTTTGTCAAAGCATAAACCTTTTTCCCAATAAAATGGAAACATACCTAAAATTTTGATCTTAGTGATGTATGAACATCCTAGAGCTTGTCCATAGGCCCTTCACAGTAAGGTCTATTGGGGATAGTTTCTGTTGGTTTCCTTTATATTTGAAATGCTAAAATTTGGTTCAAGTGTATCAGGTTGGAGCCAGGCATGGCATGTTGTAATCCCTGCAGGTGGGAGGTAGAGGCAGAAGTGGAGTTCAAGGCCAGCCTGGACTACATGGGGGAGCTCCTAGCTCAAAACAAAACAAAAAACAGCCCCAGAGGGGGCTGGAAGATAGTGTAGCCGGTTAAAGGCTAAGGCTATGTTTAAAAAAAAAAGTAGCTCAGGCTGCTGCTAAAGATGGGGGGGAATGATGTGAAGTACAAATTGTCCTAGAGAAGCGGTGTGCAGCTTTTCATTCTGCTCAAATCCACTTCCCAAACAAATCTATGTTGGGTAGGTATTTACTAGAACTCATTCTGCCTGCATTGCTTCTTGTAGGAGTGTGCATGGGAGCCCATGTTAATTCTGGATCTACCTTTGTTCTTCAGGAAAAGAAGAAGCAGAGGCTGCTCTGGAGAAGGGGGACCAGAGTGCTGAAAGTCATGAGTGGTAATGATATCCTGCAGGCTTTTAGGAAGAGCCAGCAAGGGCTAGAGTAGACCCTTTCTTTTGTTGTTGTTTTTGTTTGTTTGTTTTGGTATTGAAAAAATATTATTTCATGTGTGTAAATGTAAGAGGGCTTCGGATTCTCCTGGAACTGGAGTTACGGATGATTGTTAGCTGCCATGTACTGGGAATCAAACCCAGGTCGTCTGCAAGAGCAGTCACTGCTCTTAACCGCTAAGCCAACTCTCCAGCCCCTTGGTATTGGTATTTTTGAGACAGGGTCTCGCTGTAGCCCCAGCTGGCCTGGAACTTGCTATGTATGAACTTACGGAGAGCCTCTGCCTACTGAGTGCTGGGATTAAAGGCATGTGCTACCACAATTGGCCTCCCTTTCTTTTTTGGTCTTTTTGAGACAGGGTTTCCCTGTAGCCTCAGCTGTCCTGGAACTCACTATGTAGACCAGGCTGGCCTTGAACTCACAGAGATCTGCCTGTCTCTGCCTCCCAAGAGCTGGGATTAAAGGTGTGCACCATCATGCCCGGCCCCTTTCCTTTTTACCTTGGCCAGAGGTTTTTCATTTGCTTGAAAAACTTGGGTGGGGGGGGGTACTAGTCTGAATTTCCTGTCTCTCATCGTACCCAGTTCTTTGGGAGATGCTTTGGCAGGTAAGACAAGGGGAAATACAGGCTTTATTCTACTGGGGCTAAGAGGAATGAGTGTCTTTCTAAGAGTCACCCAGCCACTTGGTTCTTGGCTCCTCAGGAAGACTGGGACAACTTGCAGCTCCTGTTCTGCACTAGCTCTTTCCCCAGCTGTGATTCCTGGCTGGTGGTGGACCTTTGCTTCTTTGCTTGGTTTGCATGGAAAAAAACATTGGATGTGAATTTATTCCCAGGAAGTTCAATGATCAATTTATTAGCTTATTGGGCTCATATTATCAGTGTTAGACTGCTTGCCTGGTACCCACAAGGCCCTGGGTTCCATATTGAGTACCATACAAAAAGTCAAAAATTGTACCCCAATTAAGCCCTTTTTTGGTCTCTTGTGAGCCAAAGCTCTGCTGGTTGGCATGAGTCAAGGCCTTTCATGTCTTAGAGCCTGTTTCCAGCATCTTTTTTTTTTTTTTTTTAAGTTCCTAATTCCATTGTCATCTTTGTTTTCCAAATCTCTACATTCAAAATATATGCTGAGAGGCTGTTTCTCCGTCTATGGCTGAAATTTTTCATGCAAGGGTTCTTCTCAGAGGCCAGATAACTGTTTCTAGGGTGTCTTTGCTTTCTGGGCTCCCAAAGATGAAAACTGGTATAGTTTTTTTTTTTTTTTTTAAGCTATTCCTAAGGAAGGGCTGTTTGGATTACATATGAAGATGAGCCCTGCAAGTGCCTGATACACATACCCCTGTGCTACTTAGCAAACACAAGAAAAGCAACTTGATCTTGGTTAGACACTCATTCCCGCTTCTAGGAACAAAAGGTGGGGGTGGGGGCAGGAGACAGGTATTTAGTACCTGTAAGGTCTTCTTGATTTCTGTATGTATGGTACTAAGTATTGAAGTCAGGGTCTTATGTCATGTCATGCACTCTAGCTCTAAGGTGCCCAGCCTGGCCTCAAAAATTTGAATGGGGGGCGGCAATGATGAGATGGCTCAGTGGATAAAGGCACTTGCAGTGCAAGCTTAGAGACCTAAAGTTTTGGGGTTTTGCTTTTTTTTGAGACAGGGTCTCCCTGTAGCCCCAGTTGGCCTGGAACTTGCAGATGTGTCTATCTCTGCCTCTTGGGGGCTGGGATTAAAGAGGTGTACCACCACACCCAGCTAGAGATCTGAGTTTGACCCCCAGAACTCATGAAAGGTAGAAGGAGAGAACTGACTCCCCCAAGTTGTCTTCTGACCTCCACATCTATGCAATGGAATATATGCACATGCACTAATAAAATTTAAGTTTGGATTCACTTGGCTTTTCATATGGTGCTAGGCTTTAAACTCAGACTTCATACACGTACTGTACCCCTGAACTACATTCCCTATCTCTGTAAGATAGAAAGTTGATTGATATGTTCCCCTGTGGGAGGGGCTAAAGTCTTTCTTACTCTGCTTCCATTGGCTCCCAAGTTAACAGACACTTTCAAGCGAACCATTTGACCATGCTGAGAACACATTTTTCTCAATTCCTAATATACTACCTAAATGCTTCTAAAACTAAAGAGACCCTCTAATACACACTCTGAAGTAACAAGAAAGCACTTGGGTCTCTTGTAGCTTAGCTTCTTGATGCTGATTACTGGCAAACTCTTTTCAAATTTGTTTTGCAGTGCTCACACAATATGCAAAACCTTTACCTCTAATCTATAATACAACTCCTTTTCAAGTTTTTATACCTATGATTGTACTCTGAGAAAAGGAACATTTAGAGACTTGGGCTGAGACCTTGCCACCTTCTACTTTCTTGTCTTACGTAGTGTTTAGTGCTAGCTAAGCTAGCTACTTGCTCAGGCTGGTCTCAACTTCTGACATGACAAGCCTTCTGCCTTAGCCTCCTAAATGCTGGGATTACAGGAATGTGCCACTATCTGGCTAAAAATTCTAAAGTGTAAACATTTACTGTATTTGGCGTTGGGGAGGAGTCTTAACTTTTTTTTATACCTAAAATAATTAGACTTGTAAGCCTAACACTTTACTATGGATTAACTGGAACCATGGCTCTATAAAGGAATAATTTATAGATGAAAAATGTGTTTTCAATTATAGTAGATGGGAAGTACAGCCAGGTTGTAGGTAGATGCATATTTTGTGCAACAACAGTCCCCAGTCTTTGTCCCTGAGCTTGCTGCTGCTTCCCCCTTTAGGTATGCAGTGCTTTGTGGTCAGCTGGCTGAGCATGAGGGCATCCAGAAGCGTATCCAGAGTGGCTTTAGCTTCAAGGTGAGGATAGGCTTCTCTTTTCCTTGTGCTGGCCCAGTCCAAATTCCTTGCCCCCTCCCAGCCTTCTTTTTTTGGGTCTGAAACGGTCTCCCTGTTGCCCCAGCTGGCCTGGAACTCACTATGTAGACCAGGCTGGCCTTGAACTCAAGAGATCCACCTGCCTCTGCCTCCCAAGTGCTGGGATTAAAGGCGTGTGCCACCACGATTGGCATCCTGGCAGCTTTCTCAGAATGGCTTTCTCAGTCTGTTTTTCAACTCAGCAGCTCTGGTTTATGTTGGTTTGTATTTTCTCCTCAGGAACATGTGGACAAAGCCATTGCTCTCCAGCCAGAAAATCCCAGGGCTCATTTTCTTCTTGGCAGGTGGTGCTACCAGGTGAGCTAGTCTAGGGCCTGAAGTAAGGTCCTACCTGTCATACCAATCTCTTCAGTTTCATAGTCTGGCTCAGCTCCCACTTCCTCAGACTTGTTCATGTTATTGGTGAATGACCTAGCTATTGGGAGGAAGGTTGGGACAAGTTTTCAGTTGTAGCCCAGGCTGTCTTCACATTCACGATCTTTCTCCTTCAGCCTCCTAAGTGCTGGGAGGTGTTATGACAGCATGTGCAGCTGTTGCTTTTAGTGCAGACCATTCAGTATTTCCTATTCTCAAAGAAATTTGACAGTGCTGGTGATTGAACCTAAGGAGTCACACTTGCTAGGTACTCTGCTACTAAGCTACAGCTACATGCCCCACCCCAGAAACCTTTTATTTTTTACATTTATTTTTGTGATGTGTGGGTATCAGAGGACAGCTTGAGGGAGTGGGTCGTGGAGATTGGATGCCTCCCTACCATCTTGTCAGCCCCAAACTGGTAGATTTTTTTTTAAGTTTGTTTGAGATGGGGTTTCATGTATCCCAGACTGCTTCTGAATTCCTGATTTTCCTGCTTCAGTGTTGTAAATGCCAGGATTACAGGCACATACCATTATGCCTGCCCCAAGAAACCATTTACCCTTATTTGGTGGCAGGTCTCTCACTTGAGCTGGCTAGAAAAAAAAACTGCTACAGCCTTGTTTGAAAGCCCTCTTACTGCCACTGTGCAGGATGCCCTCCAGAGCTTCCTAAAGGTATCAAGGGAAGGGTGGGTAGCAGTCAAAAATGGCTTACTTTTCCTGGGACTGTTGATTGGGGAGGGGGGGAGTATGGGTTGGGGGCAATTTTGTTTGAGGGAAAACCAGAATTACTGGGAGTTTATAAAAATTATTAATTCCCAGACACACTAAATCAGTCTTGTAATTGGGGAGTAGAAAGCTTTATTTAATAAACTTCAGCTTGAATTGATGAACTTCATGAAATACTTTTCATCTCCAGGCTGAAGAACTACAGCCAGGATTTTCAAAAGCTGGACGGGTATATATTTCTAAGGTAGACTCACTCTCTTTAACACAGATGGAAATATTCATGTGGATAGTATTTCTGGGAACTTTCAGTGCTGGAGATTGAACACATGCTAGGTAGGGTATGCCCTATTGTTGAGCTATACATACTTTTAGCCCCAAGTTTTTGGGAACTATGCTGGGATGGGGGATGTCAGTGACAGGGTCTCACTATATAGCCCAGGCTTATCTTAAATTCATGGCAATCTTCCTGCCTCAATTTCCTGACTGTTGAGGTTACAGGTGCGAGTCATCACATCTGGCTTCTAGGAACTCTGTAATTCTGTATGTTAAATGTATTATTGCAGTGCCCAAAGAGGCCAGAAGAGGGCATCAGATTCCCTGGAACTGCAGTTATAGATGGTGGTTAGACACCATGTGGGTGTAGGGAACTGAACCCAAGTCCTCTGCAAGAGCAGTGGCCAATGCTCTTAACCACTGAACCAGCCACCACCCCCGGCTTCTGGGAACTCTTAAAGCACACATATTAATGTCTTTAATCTCTTGATGTTCTTTTACCAGTTTTGATTGTTCTCTTCTTAGTGCTATAGAGAATTAGGAAAAAACTTGGAAGCTAGAAAGTGGATGAAGCTAGCCCTGGAGCTGCCAGATGTCACTAATGAAGTAAGAAGAAACAAACAAAACACACACACACACACACACACACACACACACACTCGTGCACGTTTTTGGTTTTTGGGTTTTTTTTTTGTCATCCTTTTTAGCGTCACCCTGTTGCCCCAGTTGTCCTGGAACTCACTATGTAAACCAGGTTGGCCTTGAACTCACAGAGATCCACCTGCCTCTGCCTCCCAAGTGCTGGGCTAAAGGCGTGTGTCACCATGCCAGGCTTTTGGTACTAGAATCACTACATTCACTACACCACCCGGCTTGGTAAATTTTTTGTATATGGGTGGTACATGCATGCCCATGACACATGTAATCAGAAGACATCTACCATGTTTGAAACAGGATCTGTTATTTGCCACTGTGTTTGCCAGGCCAGCTGGCCTATTGAGCTTCAAGAGATTCTCTATTTTCTGTTGTGCCTAGCACTGGCTGCAACTGTTACAGCACTTGGCTTTTATGTGGGTTCTGAGAATCATGTCCTTAAACTCCAATGACAAGTGTCTTACCTACTGTCCCACCTTTCTAGCCTCATACCTTTTTTTTTTTTTTTTTTTTCCTTAGAGATAGGATTTCACCATGTAGCCCTGGAACTCCCTCTAGACCAGGCTGGTCTCTCAATTTATAGAGATCTGCCTGCTTCTGTCTTCTAATTGCTGTGATTAAAAGTGTGCACCATCATGCCTAGTCTCCAATAATACTTTTTTTTTTTTTTTGTCTTTTTGAGACAGGGTCTCCCTGTAGTCCCAGCTGACCTGAACTCCCTATGTAGACCAGGCTGACCTTGAACTCCCAGAGATCCGCCTGCCCCTGCCTCCTGGTGCACCACCATGCCCGGCTTCCAATAATACTTTTTAAGGAGCTTTAAATACTGAGTGACCTTTCCCACAAAGTCTACCTTTTTGCTTGCCTAAAGAAGACAGATTTTACAGGCTGCAGACTATGAACTGGAAAGGTAAGGCTTATAACAGTTTAGTGAAGAAGCCAAGGGTTGGGCATAGTGGTACACGCCTTTAATCCCAGCAGGCAGATCTCTATGAGTCCAACCTGGTCTACATAGCGAGTCCTAGGCCAGCCAGGACTAACCCTGTCTCAAAAAAAAAAAAAAAGGGTCCTCATCAGGTTTTGGTAATTTTGAAAAGGTTAGTTCTGACTTTGAATACTAGATTTTTTTTTTCTCTTTGTCTCCTAGGATTCAGCTTTCCAAAAGGATCTGGAAGAATTGGAAGTAATTTTAGGAAAATAATCACATTTCAATGGCTTTCTTGTAGAGGTCCGCTACTTAAATAGGAAAAAGGAAATCCCCCCTAACCCCATCTTGCTGAGTTCAGGAAACCAAGCAAGACTGATTTGGCTGCTGCCACCACTCCCCGATTTATGTTATCAATAATTTATTCTAATCTCTTACCTTAATCTAAAGTTGGGGATGTACTTACAGCTTGGTTTCTGCTGTTCTTCCCCTTAAGTGAATTCTTGATTTTTTCAAGACTTAGCTTAGCCCCAGGGTATATATGGGTGCAGCCCAAAAGGCTGCTGAGAAGATGAAGCATGCTTTCCAGCTGCTGGTGAGGTGGAGAAATGTCAGAGCTACAGCAACAAAGCACAGGACTTGTCACTGTAAGTTTTTTCACTAATAATATCCAACACCTATATCTATAGCTCTAAATCACACATTACCTGCCATGGCAAAAGGAGTCAGAGCAGCCCAGTTACTACCTTTTTACCACCTATCATGTGAACTCTACCTATATTCCTGGAATGAAGGGCTAGACCACTTGACTTCCAGAGTTCTGGCAGCTTTTGGAATGACAGCATTGCCAAAGGGTTTATAAATAAATATACTTAGAAAGAATGATCTGAAGAGGTGCCTGGAATATATTTTGTTACAAACTTGGAATAAATTAAACTTGATTAGAAGTGATTGTTTCATTTTTTTTCAGTTATTTTTATGTATATGAGTACATACCTGCATGTATGTGACTGAACCTGTGTCATGCAATGCCTCAGAGGTCAGAAAGAGCGTCAGATCTCCTGGAACTGGAGTTACAGATGGTTGTCAGCTGCCATGTGGGTGCTGGAAATCAAACCCAGGTCCTCTGTAAGAGCAGCCAGTGCTCTTAACTGTTGAGCCCCAGAATTTTTTCTTCTATAGACAATTTTGGTTTTGATCTTTCAGTAAGTAATTTAAAATTATTTTTAGAGTGTGTGAGTTTATTGCAAGTATGTAAGTGCACCCATGCAATGCCCGAGGAGCTCAGAAGAGGATGTTGGAGTCCCCTGAAACTGGAATTATGGATGGGAATCAAACCCAGGTCCTTTGCAAGAGCAGCCGGTGCTCTTAACTGCTGAGCCATCTCTTCAACCCCCACAGTTTTTGTCCAAGGCCGAACTCTTTTTGTCAAGGCCGAACTCTTGAGTTTGAGACCAGCCTGGTCTACATATTGAGTTCCAGGCCAGCTGGGGCTGAGTGTTTTGCCTGTATGTAAGTGCATTCATGTATACAGTGCCCAAAAAGGCCAGAAAAATGGGTCAGATTCCCTGGAACTGTAGTTATGGATGGTTGTTAGCTGTCATGTGGGTGCTGGGAATTGAACCCAGGTTCTCTAGAAAAGCAGCCATCTCTGCAGCCCCTCACATACATTACAGTCCTATAAAAGTGAGGGAGGTCTTTATATAAGAAACTTTTCACTGTGGCCTTAGTAACTAATTTCAGGTTTATTTTATGGTACAGAAACACAAGAATTGAGATGTACTCAATTCTGAGAATAAACAATTTTTAGCTGGGTGTGGTGGCACATGCCTTTAATCCCAGGGCTCAGGAGGCAGAAGCAGGTGGATCTCTGTGAGATCGAGGCCAGCCTTGTCTACATAGTGCCAGGACAGTTGGGGCTATAGGGAGACCCTGTCTCAGACAAAAAAAAAAAAAAAATGGGAGAATAGGGTGTTAAATAACTCTAAAAAGGGCCATGGGTCCTAATGGCCCAGCACTTTGGGGCTCTTAGCCTGCTTCCAATCTTGGGAGTGTTTTTCCTTTCTATTTTAAAGATTTATTATTTATATGTATATCTGTGTATGTGCATGCCCTTGGAGGCCAGAAGAGGGTATCTGATCACCTAGAGCTGGAGTTACAGGTGGCTATGAGCTATCTGATGTGGGTAAGAAACCAAACTTAAGATCCTTTGAAAGAGCATCAAGTGTTAACTGCTGAGCCAGCCCCTATATCTTTTCCTTTCTTAAGTTGTCTCTTTCTTCCCATGTGTTCCTAGTATAATCTTTTGCCCTGGGACACAAGAGCCTGGAATTGGGTGCCCTCTGAGCTCCTTATATGTGGCTTGGCACTAATCATGTTTTCCCTTTTCCTTTTATCTGCCCCTCTTCCCCCATACTGGCCAAATACCTAAGTGTACTTTTCCAGAAACTTTGGGTTTTCTGTTTCTGATGGCCATGCCTAACTTCTATCCATGCATGACTTATCTCCCCTCCTCCTCCAAATGCTGAGAGTTTCAGTTTCCAGTCCTACTGGTTTTTACTCTAGTAAAATTTTGAGCTGGCGTGGTGGCACATGGCTCTAATCCCAGGACTCAGGAGGCAGAGGCAGAAGGATCTGTTGTGAGTTCAAGGCCAGCCTGGTCTACATAGTGAGTTGCAGGCCAGCTGGTGCTAAAGGGAGACCCTGTCTCAAAAATAACCAAAAAACTTCCTTGAGCTGCTTTCTGTTTTTAAATTCCTTTATTAGAATAGGAACCCAAAGGGAGACCTCACTTTTTCTGTTAGCACTGCTAAAGTAGAATGATCTGGGCAAGTGTCAGATTTCAACATGGGAATTACAGAATAAAAACTAAGACCATAGGAGAGGCACAGTAGATCAGTCTGGTGATATTTTCCATAGGCTGATATAAGTGCAATCACCTGAATGTAGGACTTTACAGTTTTCAAATCTTTTTTTTTTTTTTTTCGGTCTTTTTGAGACAGGGTCTCCCTGTAGCCCCAGCTGTCCTGGAACTATGTAGACCAGGCTGGCCTTGAACTCGGAGATCCGCCTGCCTCTGCCTCCCAAGTGCTGGGATTAAAGGCGTGCACCACCACGCCCGGCTGTTTTCAAATCTTACAGAACCTAATAACTACTCAGTACCCTAAAGATATTATGGAAAACCTATTTGCAATATTCATTTGCACCAGAATAACTCCTATAAACAGTATATTCACTGCAAATAACTATTAGCAACCTCACAGTGAACTAGCATCTGAAATGCTTAACATCCCAGAGTTAAGTCTTAGTAATTAAAAGAATAAGCATGAAGCTCAAGGGCTGGCAGTCTAGCAGGCCTAATGCAAGACTCCATAGCCAAAACAAATTTTTTATTATGTGAGCGTTCAGTCATACAACTTTATAGCTTGTTTCTGATTTTTATTGGTAAAGAAAAAGAATGTTGTAAATATACCCATTCCCATAGTTAAAGATCCTCAGGCATTTTGTTTTACTGTTGTTTAGAAGTGAGAGAAGACTCTGGTCTTCCCAGCCATACTTCTCTCAGAGATGTAAGATTGTCTAATAGATAGCTGTCAGATCTGAGTCATTCCCAAAGTACTGTGTCAAAGGTATTTCATACCCTCTCCTCTAAACACCAAAGGAATCAGATATTAACACACTCCAGAAGAAATAAACACTCCAGATCAGTTTGAATACTGACCTGTCTCCTGTTTATACCACCAGAAAGCTGATAGAATAGCTGTTTTCCTGGAAACCACGTTCTGGCAGTCAAAACAGGAAGAGGCCTGTGAAGAATCCCAGGGAGCAGCTTCTCCATTAGGCTCTAGTACTTAAAGTTTATCACAGGAAAAGCCACTAAAGATTCAGTCTTTGGCATCTCCCACTCCATCTGCATTGATGGCAAACATAGCTTCAGCTTCAGGAAGGCAGGGAGAGTCATAGATTTTGCAGATTCTGGTTTCCCCTCTTCCTTTCCGCAGATACAGCCTGACCCAAAGACCAAAACACCAAGTTATAAACAATTCCATTCCTGACAATGACACAGCTAACTGTTTCAGATACATGTAACTTCCTAAAAGGATTTTAAAGCTCTTAGTGTATTTAGTACAATAACTTGGAGGCATCAATTTCTGCCCTGACCTCCTTATTGGATGTGCATATGAAACAAGTGTATCAATTATTCATATTAATTTTTTCCACAACTGAAGGCTTTCAATTCTGTATGAACTAAAAGTAAACATTTTATTATTTTCATTTTATGTGTGTTATGCCTGCATGTAGGTAAGTACACCCATGCCGCAACACTTTTATCAATCAAAACAAATTTAGCAAGACTTCCTAACTGTGTATATGATAGCAATTTTAATAGGGTTTAACTGGAAATGTTTTGTCAATATCACAGTTTCTACTACATTTATCCCAGAAAGCCTCTGCCATCACCTTACCTAGTTGTTGACGCATGGGCGATGATATTCCCTCCAATGGGCTTTTTGGGATCTGCAGCAAACATGGCTGCTCCATCTACTTGGGCCACCACCTGGTTGGTGATTACCACTGCTACACCAAACTGATAGGAGAAAGAATGTCAATTTTAGACATTCTTGTAGACAAAGACATACAAGAACCTAACGTTGACACCAAGCAATGAATAATGTTTTTCTTCCCTTTGATGATATTGGATACTTATGTCTTGGCCTCAGAAGGCTCTTGGAATTTGCAGCCACTGGAGGGAAGCATTCCTGGTCCATAGCTTACCTCATCAGCAAGTCGCAACAGCATCCTTAGGAACCTGGCTAAATGCATTTGCCTGGCTGAGAGCTCTCCTCGTCCTGAGTAGTCTGTTCTGTAGAGGGCGGTGGCACTGTCTACAATAAGCAGTGCATACCTACAGGGAACAAGAATTCTTTGCCAGATTCTACTCCCTTAAGATTTTATATGTAATGTTTAACTTTTTCCTCTTTTCTTTTTTTGGGGGGGATCTTTTTGAGACAGGGTCTCCCTGTAGCCCCAGCTGGCCTCAATCTGACAGAGGTCCACCTGCCCATGCTTCCCAAGTGCTGGGATTAAAGGCGTGCACCACCAAGCCCTGCTTTTTTTTTGGAGACTGAGTCTTGCTACTTATGTACCCCAGGCTACCCTGGAATTCATGATCTTGTCTCAGACTCCCAAGGACTAGAATTAGAGGTGTCCGTCAGTCACACCTAGATCCTAGTTACACATGAACACATTTTATTAAAATGCTTAACAATGCTCACATCTGAGGCACCTTTTGGTAGGCCTTTTCTGTTTTGGTTTTTTTTTTTGGCAGATTTGACCAAAAGGGGCTCTGGGTTTGTTTTTTTTCTTTTCTTTTTAAAATTTATTATTTTTATTTTATGTGTATGCATGTATTGCCTGCACGTAGGTAAGTGCACCCGTGTTGTGCAATGCCCCCGGAGGTCAGAAGAGGCTGTTGGATCCCCTGGGACTGGAGTTATGGACAGTTGTTAGCTGCCATGTGGGTGCTGGGATTTGAACCCGGGTCTTCTGCAAGAACATCCAGTGTTCTTAACCGCTGAGCCATCTTTCCAGCCTGTTTTTTTCTTAATACTGGAAACTGAACAGGGCCTCATGCATGCTAGGAAATGCTGTAATTCCAGCCCTGCTTTCATTTTTCACTAGCGACTTGACCCAAGCCATAAAGCAATTGTATCAAAATAGGAACTAAAGTTCAGGTTCTCCAGAACCCAGGTAAAGCCAGTCAAGGTAACAAGTGTCTAATCCCAGTATTCCAACAAGATGGGAGGAGTACACAGGAGAGTTCCTAGAAGCTTATGGGCCAGCTAGCTTGGTGTACACCACAACAAACAATAAAGAAACCCTGTCTCAAGTACAGGCAAGAATTAACACACAAAAGCTGTCCTCTGACTTGCACATGTAAGCCATGTGTATGCCTACATGCTCACATATGCCTGTGATCAGACACAAAACACACATATCACCACTAACCCCCTTCCAAAAAAAGATTAAAAGGAGGGCAGGGGAGGAACTGGGAATGGAGAGATGGCTCAGTGGTTAAGAATACTTGCTGCTCTTCCAGAGTACTGGAGTTTGGTTTCCAGCACCCAAGTTGGACAGCTCACAACAGCCTATAACTCCAGCTCCAGGGGATCCTGTGCAGGCACCCTCCCATCACACATGGCATACAGTCACAGAAACACATGTAAGTAAAAATTTAAAACACATTGAAAAAAAAAAAGAAACCAAATTCATTATATTAAAAAATGGGGGAGTAAAAATTTAAATCTTTCCATTTTGAATGAAGCTACTCTCAATAAGATTCAGAGAAAGGGCTGTGGGAAGTGTCTTTTACTGAGCACATACCTGGACTCTACCATCATAGCTGATGCTTGATAAAGGAGCTGGGTCTGGTGGTCTGTGTTGAACCCTCGAGCATATGCTACATTATCTAGGACATCACTTCCAGAGAGACCATACCTAGGAGAGAGTATTTTTAGGCTGCAGACAGAACTCAGGTAAATGAGAAATTAATATCTGATATTTATATTATACAAATAGGTAAGAAGTAGTGTTCACAGTGGCTTCAATGCACAAGAATATAATTTTCTTCTAGGAAGTATAGACAAACCATATATAGAGATGGCAGCACCAACTATTTTCAACTAGCTTTACCTGGCAAGACCTCAGGATAAATCAGATTTATTATTTGAGAATTCCTGAACTACAATGAGACATTTCCATGTGTAACAATATTCTCCCAGAAAAGGCAAGAATTACAGATTTAGGATAATAAAAAATTGGGCTGGAGAGATGGCTCAGTGGTTAAGAGTACTGGCTGCTCTTGCAGAGGACCTGGATTCAGTTCCCAGCATCCACATGGTGGCTAACAACTATCAGTAACTCCAGTTCCAGGATATCCAATGCCCTCTTTTAACCTCTGTGGGCTTTGCATAACATGGGTGTACTTACATGCAGGCAATACACTCATACACATAAAATTAAAAAATATATTAAGGCAAGTCTGGTGGTGCACGCCTGTAGTCCCAGTACTCAGGCAGAGGCAAGCGGATCTCTGTGAGATCAAGGTCAGCCTGGTCTACATAGTGAGTTCCAGGTCAGCTGAGGCTGCAGGGAGACCCTGTCTCAAAAAGGCCAAAAAAAAAAAATTTAAAAAAGAAACCATCCAAAGATTGATTAAATGAGTAACTCTTTAATTCGTCTATGCCTCAATGATTTTTTTCTTTTGCATTTAAAAAGAGCAATTAAGGGGGCTGGAGAGATGGCTCAGCAATTAAGAACACTGGCTGTTCTTTCAGAAGACCTGGGTTCGAATCCCAGCACCCACATGGCAGCTAACAACTTTCCATAACTCCAGTCCCAGGGAATCTGACAGCCTCTTCTGACCTGTGGGCTTTGCCTGACATGGGTGCACTTACATACAGGCAATACATGTGTACAAATAAAAAAATTTTTTTAATTAAAAAAAAAAAAAACAAGATATTTTCTGTTTTTGTGACTGGAGATGTGGCTGCTGATAGCTCAGCAGAGCAGTTCAGAGCACTGGCTGCTCTTCCAAAGGACCCAGGTTTGGTTCCCAACACCCACATGGAGGCAAACAACTGTCTGTAACTCCAAGTCTGGGGATTTGATGCCCTCTTCTGGCCTCTGCAGATATTCCATGCATGGGTGCACTTAAGTATACCCAGGCAAAATGCTTACATACCTAATACAAATAAAAAATATTTTAAAAGATATTTTCTGTTTTTGAAGCCAGAAGTGGTGGTGCATGCCTTTAATCCCAGCAATTGAGAGGCAGAGGCAGAGGCAGGTGGATCTCTGAGTTCGAGGCCAGCTGGGGATAGAGGGAGACCCAGTCTCAAAAAGACCAAAAAAAAAAAAAAATTTCTGTTTTTATGAAATGATCTACATTTTCTCACATTGGCAACTGCCATCTAAGACATGAATGCTCAAGGTGGCTCAAGAAAGACAATTCCAGCCTGGAGGTGCACACCTTTAATCCCAGCACCCAGGAGGCAGAAGCAGGTGGATCTGGGTCAGTAATCTTTGTAAGTAGGATCTATGTAAGCCAGCCTGGTTTACATAGTGAGTTCCAGGCCAGCTGGGGCTATAGGGAGACCTCCTCTCTCTCTCTCTCAAAAAAAAAAAAAAGGGACAATGTCATTCTTATAAATATACAGTAATGGTAAAGATAGTAGGTTTGATTTATTCATCCATGAGGACTCAACCAAATGCCTGTTTTTAAAAATACTTTTAATTTATTTTTTTGGTCTTTTTGAGACAGGGTCTCCCTGTAGCCCCAGCTGTCCTGGAACTCACTATGTAGACCAGGCTGGCCTTGAACTCACAGAGATCCACCTGCCTCTGCCTCCCAAGTGCTGGGATCAAAGGCATGAACCACCACACCTGGCGTAAGAATATTTTTTATTTTTAATATAAAATATTTTTCATTTTTTGAGGTGTAGGGATTCATGATGTTTTCCAAACTGGCCCCAAGCAACCCCCAGCCTCAGCCTCTGGAGTAGCTGGGATAACAGGTGCATACCACACCTTACTGACCTTGCCTGCCCTTTTAAAAAAGCTTCCTCACAGATCTCAAGTACAACTGATTCTACTTCTTTTGCAATTATAAAAGCTGGTTTGATTCTTAGCACTGCAGAAAAAAAAAGTAAAAAATAAAAGCTTACTCTGGGCCTTTTTGACACTTGTGAAGGGCTATTTGCCATTCTTTTACAAGACTATAAATTCCTTTAGGGAAAAGAATAGGCTTCTATACCTTTCCAGTATATTTTACATACGAATAAAGCAAAGAATAAATACTGAAGTTTTTCTCCATACCTCTAACAGTTAATGAAACACATATAATCACTTTGACCCCCTTAGTAGGTAAAGCATTTCTAGTTAAGCCTGACTACCAGTGTTTGATCCATGGGAATCACTTGGTGGAAGAAACCTTACTCCCGTGGAATTGTCCTCTGATCTCCACACAGGTAACATGGCACACGTGGACTAGCACACAAGTAAATAAATACACCTAAAAAAATTCTTTTAGGTTGGGTATAGTAGCACACACCTTTAATCCCAGCACTGGGGAGGCAAAGGCAGGCAGATCTCTGTTGAGCTGGGGTCAGACTGGTCTAGTGAGTTCCAGGCCAGTCAGGGGTACAAAATGAGACCCTACCTCAAAATAAGTAAACGAATAAATTTAAAAGATAATGTTTAAATGAAATCTAGTGGGTTATAATTCTTACAGAGCTTGTTCTATATTCATGATTTTATCATAGAGATAAAGATATAGTGAGTTTTACTTTGAGATTCTGATCAAATAGGAATTAGGAGGCATATATTTTCTGTACTTAAAATATAGCTATGAGGAAGAAAAAGATTCAAGAAACTTACGTAATATATTGTCTAAGTCTTCTAGTTTTACCACAAGAAACATTTATTCAATCTATGAAGAGGGGAGATGTATGCTTCTTGCTATGAATGTAGGTTTACCTGAAAAAGTATTATCCTAGCTTTCAACAACACTCAAAAGATGCATCTAAAAGAACACTGATGGGGCTGGAGATGGCTCAGTGGTTAAGAGCATGGACTTCTCTTGCAGAGGACCCAGGTTCGATTTCCAGCACCCACATGATGGATACAAACGGTCCTTAACTCCAGTTCCAGGGGAATCTAAAGCCCTCTTCACACCTTCATGGCACTGCATGACATGTGTGCACTCACATACATGCAGGCAACACACTCATACACATAAAAATAAAAATTTTTTTAAATTAGAAAAAAAAAAAAGAACACTGAATTTTCAGTTCCTACAACTTGGAAAAAGTTGGTAAGAAACAGAATAACCTGGAAAATCTGTTAAAAAATAAACTTGGGGCTGAAGAAATGGCTCAGTAGTTAGAGCACTTGCTGGCTCTTGCCGAGGACTTGGCAGCTAATGCTCTGAACTCCAGTTTCAGGGGATCCAACTCCCTCTTCTGCTCCCCTCAGGCACTGTATGCATGTCGTGCACTTACATACATGCAGGCAAACCCCCATCTGAGCACTCAGGAGGTAGATGCAGGCAGATTTCTGTCCAGCTGGGTCTACATAGCAAGTTTCAGGCCATAGGGCTACAAGGAGATCCTGTCTCAAAAAACCAAACCAAAAAAACACACCAAAACACCTCTCTTGGGTCTAATTCAGACTCAGTGAACTACAATTTCCACGGAGGGGTTTTGGAAATTTGTAGTTAACAAATTCTCAGGTTATTCGTTTTTAAGAAAATATATTTTATTTATTTTTTAATTTTATTATTTTTATGTGTATGCGTGTATTGCCTGCATGTAGGTAAGTGCACCTGTGTTGTGCAATGCCAGCGGAGGTCAGAAGAGGCTGTAGGATCCCCTGGGACTGGAGTTACAGACAGCTGTTAGCTGCCATGTGGGTGCTGGGATTCGAACCCAGGTCTTCTGCAACAACCAGTGTTCTCAACTGCCGAGCCATCTCTCCAGCCCATTATTTTTATTTTATGTGTATGAGTGTATTGCCTCATGTATGTGAGTGCACCCGTGTTGTGCAATGCCGCGGAGGTCAAAAGGCGGCTTTGGAACTGGAGTTAAGGATGGTTCCTAGCTGCCATGTGGGTGTTGGGAATCGAACTTGGGTCCTCTGCAAGAGCAGTCAGTGCTCTTAACCGCTGAGCCATCTCTCCAGCCCCCATATTCTTTTAAATTAATTAAAAAAAATTTTTTTGAGACAGATCTTACTTAGCCCTAGCTGGCCTGGAACTCACTATGTAGAACAGGTTGGCCACCAAGATCCACCTGCCTCTGCCATCACATCTTGCAATTAGATTATTCTTGTTTGAAAAAAATTCAGCCTATCCCTCAGAGGGGTTTTGTCATTCTTACAGTCCTTCGATGAACTTTGAAAAGGAGATGACTAGTTAGCAATCATGGCCATGATTCTCGAACTTTAGTGAACAATGGATTACCTCGACAACTTGTTTAAAACAGATTGCTAGATTCAGGCCCTAGAATTTCTGATTATTTCTGACTCAGTTGGATTTGAAGTGAGGACAAAACATTTACATTTCTCTCTATTAATTTTTTTTTAAACATTTATTTATTGTGGGTATGGGTGTCATGGTATATGTGTGGAGGTCAGAAGAAAATTTGCACAAGTTGGTTCTTTCCTTCCACCATGTGGGTCTTGGGGATTTAAACTTGGGTAGTCAAACTTGGTGGCAGGCCCCTTTACCCTCTGAGCCATCTCGCCAGCCCCATTTTTACTATATTTTAGAGCACTGTCTGAGCCTTTAGGGCTTTTTTTGGGGAGGAGGGGTTTTTTTTTGAGACAGAGTCTCCCTGTAGCCCCAGCTGGCCTGGAACTTGCTATGCAAACTAGGCTGGCCTTGAACTCAGAGATCTGCCTGCCTCTGCCTCTCAAGTGCTGGGATTAAAGGCATGCACCACTATGCCTGGCTCACCACTCCTTTTCTTTAAAAATATTTTTATTTTATGTGTATGAGTCTATTGTCTGCATGTATGTAAGTGCACCTGTGTCGTGCAAAGTCCATCCTGCTGATCCTTCTGCCTCAACCTCTGGAGTGCTGGGATTACAGGTATGCACCATTAGTTTATGCGGTGTGTGTGTAAGCACTCTACCAACCTCCGTGCCAGCCCAGATTCTTTATTTTCTAAATATAGTATCATGTCACTGACAAAAAATGATTTTTAATTCTTCCCCTCCAAATGCAGCTACACTTATTTATTTAAAGTTTGCAGTGCTGGGGATTATACCCAGGGCCTTGCACATAATAGGCAAGTACTTTACCACTGAGCTATACGCCATCCCCTGGAGGCATTTTATTTCTTCTTCTTTTTTAAAATTGTATTTATAATTTTTATTTTATGTGTATTTGTGTATTGCCTGCATGTAGGTAAGTGCACCTGTGTTGTGCAATGCCAGCGGAGGTCAGAAGAGGCTGTCGGATCCCCTGGAACTAGAGGTACAGACAGTTGTTAGCTGCCATGTGGGTGCTGGGATTCGAACCCAGGTCTTCTGCAAGAACAACCAATCTTCTTAACCGCTGAACCATCTCTCCAGCCCCTCTTCTTTCTTTTTTAGGGAGAAAGCCTTCAGCATTAAATGTCAGTTATAGGTTTCTTAGACACCCCTCATCAAGACATCTGACAGATTGTTATGTTCTAGTCAATATTAAAAGTAGGATATTAGTTTCTATTTATTATTGTTGAATTGTCTATTTTCCACTTCAATGACATCAGTTATTGTTTCACCTGGGGGGAAGGGGAAACAATATTAAGAGCTCTGGGGTTATATGTTTATAATTCTTATACCTTCCTGATGAACTGACCTTTTTAATTATAAAATGTTCTTCCTGGGCAGGTAAGATGACTCAAAGGGTGGTGCTAGCCACCAAACCAGACCTGAACCTGAGCTTGATCTCCCAAATGGTGGAAGGAGAAAACTGACTCCCATGAGTTGTCCCCTGACCTCCACATACACACGGTGTACGCACACACACATACACATACACACAAACACAAAGTTCTTCCTCTTCTCTACTATTATTTTTTCTGCCTTAAAGTCTGGTTTGTCTGATACAGTCTTTCAATCTCTCTTATAGTTCCTGGTCATATTCATTTTCAATCTATCTTTAAATATAGTGTGTCACTGGGAGACAATATATAGTTGGATCTTGGGGTTTTTTTTTTGTGTGTTTTTTTTTTTTTTTTTTTTTAAAGACAGGGTCTCCCTGGAACCCCAGCTGACCTGGAACTCACTATGGAATTCACTATGTAGACCAGGCTGGCCTTGAACTCACAGAGATCCACCTGCCTCTGCCTCTCCCTCCTGAGTGCGGGGATTAAAGGCATGTGCCACCATGCCCGGCTGGATCTTGTTTTTTATCTAGTCTGAGAGGAACTTCCAGATTGTTAACTAACAAATGTCTTCACTTCTTTTGGCCCACAGAGATTTGGGGTATGGAGTAAAAAGATACTTTTCAGCCAAATTAACCTTGCTAAAATAAATATTCCAGTGACAGGTATAGCCATATTCTTGCTCATCTAATTTAGTGACTTACCTTTCAGCCACTGCTAGCAGCCGTTCTGGCCTAAAGGTACCCTCAGTGTCAATATACATAGCCTTTCCTTCACCTCCACCACGATCAATGGGAAGCTAGAGAGAGAAAAAAAGGAACAGTGGGAATGATCACTCTTCTCATAAAGTTGACGAAGTTCCCCCCACTTGATAGATCTATAATTCCCCCCACTCCAAATAAAGTAAAGGGAAAAAGACTTTAAAATGATAAACTGGCAGTGGTGGTTCACACCTATACTCCCACTCAGGATCAAGTCCAGAGAGTCTGAAGCCAACATGGACTATGTTGTCTAGCCCAGGTTACAGTGTGAGACCTTGACTCAAAAAAACTAAACAAACCAACCAACAAACAACGAAAAAAACAGCAACACAAAAAATGATAACTAGAGGTAAAAAGGCATTCTCTTTTGACAGAAGTATGAGGTAACAGTAGACATGAAGCTCAATGTCTTGCAGAAAATATCTTATCAGGGTTGGACTGCTTTCATATATAATCCAAAGTACATAAGATTTTCTGGCTACATGCCAACAGAAGACTAATTAGTTTAAGGGTTCAGACAACAGTTGTGGTGGTCCATGCCTCTAATCCCAGCACACAGAAGGTGGAAGCAGGAGGATCAGAAAGAAGTCTAAGTTTGGCTACATAATGAATTTGAGTCCAGCCTGGGCTAGGTGAGACCCACCCACAAAACCAACCAACCCCCCAACCCCCCAACCTAGCTAGTATAGTGGCTCATTTTTATAATCCCAGCACTCAGGAGGCAGAGACAGAAAGACCAACACAGTTCAAGGTACATATTGATTTTCAGACTGGCCTGGGCTATATAACAAGACTCTGCTTCAAAAAGCCACAAACAAGACAGAAAGCCAAAGTTGCCTCAGGCTTTTGGAAAGGAGGAAATGTAGACATTCCAGGGTTAAGTCTCTGAAAAATGAGATGAATGAGGGTCCCCTCCTCTCACCTAATTTTCAGGGCTATCAAGAGAGGCTTGTTTTCCTTGGTGTGGAGGAGGGGGAACTTCCTTAGGCAGAAGAGACCATGGGTGGCTCTGGTCTTCTACCTATTTTAGCCCTCCAACCTTGCCCTATCAGTACCATCACAGCCATCTTATTATTTTCAGTTAGCAGACTTTTGTCCTAGTTCTCTGATACAGGGCTCACTATGTAGCCCAAGATGGTCTCAAACTCATGATCCTCCTGCCTTGGTCTCCCAAGTTGTGAGTATATGCATTGTAAGTATCACCAGAGTTGGTTAAATTAGAAGGTTTTCATAAATACTTAGTACCATAATTTAACTCCTTTCTGTATTTACAGAGATGCATGTTATTTCTCACTTTTATTACTTTAATAATGTGCTATAAATTCTTTGCACATTTATTCTTAGGCATTTGTGAACTGTTCTAGAAGTTAAATTTTCTTGTTGGTTATGGTGGCTCATACCTGTAATTTCATCACTTGAAAACCAGAGACAGGATTAACAGTTAGAGACCGGTTTGGGCAACATTAAGTCCTGCAAGACACGGGTGCACTGACCTATATGCAGGCAATTCGAGTATACACATAAAATAAAAAATATAAATAAAATATTAAAAAAAAAGTCAGACTATGTTTAGTGATCCATCACGGTTGTTGTTATTATTATGTATTTTTGAGATAGAAAATATAGATCAAGAAAGAAAAGGGCAGATAAAGCCAGGGGAAAGGGGGTGGGGAAGAAGGGAGGGAGGGAGTGAGAAAGAGAAAGGAGAGAGATTGTAGCATAATATTTTAAATCAGCAATTAATTGGAAGTTTATATGATATGAAACAATTCTCAGAAGGAGTCCATTTTCTAACCTATGAGAATCTTTTTTTAAAATTTTATTTATTGGGGGCTGGAGAGATAGCTCAGCGGTTAAGAACACTGACTGTTCTTGCAGAAGACCTGGGTTTGAATCCCAGCACCCACATGGCAGCTAACAACTGTCCATAACTCCAGTTCCAGGACCCTGACAGCCTCTTCTGTCCTCCAGAGGCATTGCATGACACAGGTGCACTTAACCTACATGCAGGCAATACATGCGTACACATAAAATAAAAATAATAAATATTTTTTTAAAAAATTTTTATTTATTATTTTTATTTTATGTGAATATGTGTATTGCCTACATGTAGGTAAGTGCACCCATGTCATGCAATGCCCATGGAGGTCAGAAGAGGCTGTCGGATCCCCTGGGACTGGAGTTATGGACAGGTGTTAGCACCCATGTGGGTGCTGGGATTCAAACCCAGGTCTTCTGCAAGAAGCAACCAGTGTTCTTAACCACTGAGCCATCTCTCCCGCCCCCCTAACCTATGGGATTCTTAAGGACAGTGGAAAGTATCTTTTATGTCACCTTAACAGACGCCTGCAAATACTATGTCAATCGATCCTTGCTGATTTGATTAGCCTGAGCCCCAAAATCTCACCTGGCATGTTACAGCCAATGTATGACAGATCTGGGTCTTCCCAGTTCGGAATTCTCCAAACATCTCTGTGATAGATCCTGTCTCAATTCCACCTACAACAGTAAAAGTATCTCTTAGCACGACATAAATGTTTAGAAATTCTAGTCACAGAAATGTTCTTGGACCACAGCAGAATGATAGTCCCAAAATTTCAAAATCCAATTTTCAATAATTAGCAATTTGCTAAGATATATATACATTTTTATTTTGCCAGGCCAAATAGTACACACCTGTAATGCCAACTATGTGGGAGGATGAGAAAGGATAAAAAATTTGAGGCCTACCAGGCTTGGTGGGACATGCTTTTAAACCAAGCACTCAGGAGGCAGAGGCAGGCAGATCTCTGTGAATTCAAATCCAGCCTCGTCTACATAGTGAGTTCCAGGCCAGCTGGGGCTACAGGGAGACCATCTCAAGATGACTAAAAAAAAAAAAAAAAAAAATTGAGACCTGACTGGGCTACACAGCAAGTTCAAAGCCAGCCTGAGCAAACATAACAAGACACTGTCTCAAAGGGCTGGGTATGTAGCTCAGTGACAGAATGCTTACTTAGCACATAAGTCCCTGGATTCAATTCACAATACCACCAAAAATAAATAAATAAATAAATAAATAAATAAATAAATAAATATCACCAAATTTTAGTGTGATTCCTGAACCCATGCTATTTTGAGAAAAAGTAGATAATTAAATAACTAGAAAAACAGCAAGAACCAAACTTAACTTTATAACAGGGCAGTTATGCTTTGAAAAGTTCAAAAACTTTTCACATTCTTTTAAGACCTTAAGATGTAAAGATTTATAATGTACTACATCCCAAGTAGTATTCAAACATGGAGTGTTTTGGAGCAGGAAGTATAGATCAGAACCCCTAGTGTATGAGGCCCTAGGCTCAATTTCTCGCTCATATTTTTATTTTATTTTATTTTAATCTTTTTGAGACAGGGTCTCCCTGTAGCCCCAGCTGACCTGGAATTTGCTATGTAGACTAGGCTGGTCTCAAACTCACAGAGATCTGCTTGCCTCTGGCTCCCACGTGCTGGGATTAAAGGCATGCGCCACCACACCTGGCCCTCATACTTTTATTTTTAAAATTTTATGTTTAGGGCTGGAGAGATGGCTCAGTGGTTAAGAGCACTGACTGCTCTTGCAGAGGACCCGGGTTCAATTCCAAGCACCCACATGGTGGCTATGAACTGTCCTTAACTCCAGTTCCAGGGGAATCCGAAGCCCTCTTCTGACCTCCGTGGCATTGCACAACATGGGTGCACTCATGTACATGCAGGCAATAAACTCATACACATGAAATAAAATATTAAAAAAAAATTTATGTTTATTATTCTGTATATATGTGTATGATGTGAGTGCAGGAACACACGTGCCACAGCTCGAATGTGGAGGTCAAAAAACTTTGGGGAGTTGGTTCTCTTTTTCTTTTATGTGTATGACTGTTATGCCTGCATGTAGCTTAAGTGCACCTGTGTCATGCAATGGTTCTCTTTTTCCACCAAGGGTTCCAGAGGTGGAACTCAGGTCATCTGGCTTGTGCACAAAACACTTTTACCTGCCTAGCCACCACTCTAGCCTTCCTACATGGTTTTTAACCAGTCATCAAATTTCCAAACTTATGGTAGAACAGAAGAAGTTATAATCAATAGTTATTTCTTTAAGTAGAGGGGGCTCATTCTCTGAATACAAAACTACATGAAGGGGCTGAAGAGATGGCTCAGTGGTTAAGAGCACTGGCTGTTCTTGAAGAAGACCTAGGTTCAAATCCTTAGACCTACATGGCAGCTTATAATTGTCTGTAACTCTGGTTCCAGAGGCTCTAACACCCTCTTCTGTCCTCCATGAGCATTGCACGACACAGGTGCACTTACATACATGCAGGCAATACACACATACACATAAAATAAAAAATATTTTTTAAAAAACTACATGAAGATAAATTATTTAATTTTCTGATAATTTTAGCATTTTGTAAATCAGAGTCATCATGGTTGGCTAATGCCTATAATCTCAACCCTGTATTTGGGAGATAGAGGCAGGAAAATCAGGAGTTCAATAACATCCTCAGCTACTTATCAAGTTCAGGCTTATTTGTCCCCCATCTCAAAACAAGCAAAATAAAACCAAACCCACAAAATAAATACATCAGGTCCCTGTAGTAGTCTAACAATTCATATTTCCCTTATTTCTTACTCATATCTAACATGTGAATTCTACACTAATATTTATGAAATAGAGTAAAAGATTACTATACCTTGAAGCAGTTTGTCAAGCTCTTTGGAGCCAGTAGTAATCTGTATGATTTCTGATCGCCTTTGGTGAAATTCAGTTGCTGTGGTGAAACCCATTGGAACCAATTTAGCTGCCTCAGCCTAAGAAAAATAAAAAAAGTTAAGCCAATAAAATAATACAGGTAGGGCCAGGTGTGGTGGCAGACACCTTTATTCTCAGTGCTTCAGAGGCAGAGGCAGGTGAATCTCTGTTAAATAAATGCCAGCCTGGTCTACATAGCAAGTTCCAGGCCAGCTGGAGCTACATAGTAAGACTCTGTCTCAAACAAGCAAGCAAGTAAAAACCAAATCAACCCCCACCCCACATACACATAAGGAAAACACTATCTGGGGGCTAGAGGGTACTGCTCTTGTGGCAGAGTAAGCTTCCCAGTTCACAACTGCCTGTAACCCCAGTTCTAGGAAATCTAATGACTCTGGGGGCTCCTGCAGTGATGTGTGTATATAACCACACACACACACACACACACACACACACACACACACACACACAAAATGAATACCTAAATATATTTGTATTACTTTCTAATCTTCTCTATACACATATTTAACTTCAGTTAAATATTCATTACAATGTCTACCTTATAGCTTTTTAAACAATTTACTGCAAAACTGAATGGTGTACTAGAAACACAATTCTTTTCTTTTTTTTTTTGGTTTGGTCTTTTTGAGACAGGGTCTCTCAGTAGCCCCAGCTGGCCTGGAACTTACTATGTAGACCAGGCTGGCCTTGAACTCAGAACTCACAGAGATCTGCCTGCCTCTGCCTCCTACATGCTGGGATTAAAGCCATGCACCACCACACCTGGCACAATTACTTTTAAGTCTCCAATACTGTCAATCATATGTTCTATCAAATGGTTTCTATGGATTTGGGGGCTGGAGAGATGGATCAGTGGTTAAAAGCACTGGCTGCTCTTACAGAGGACCTGGGTCCAGTTCCCAGCACACACATGGCAGCTGACAACCATCCCTAACTCCAGCTCCAGGGGATCCAATGCCCTCTTCTGACCCCCATGGGCATTGCAGGACATGAGTGCCCCTGAATATATTCAGGCAATATACTCATATACATAAACAATAAAAAAAATAAAGCCCCAGGTGTGGTGGCACAAGCCTTTAATCCCAGTACTTGGGAGGCAGAGGCAGAGGCAGGCAGATCTCTATGAGTTCAAGGCCAGCCTGGTCTCCATTGGGAATCCAGGCCAAATGCAAGAATAAAGACATAAATAAATAAATAAATAAATATTTTTTTAAAAATCAAGTGAATTTTGCTGGGTGTGGTGGTGTATACCTTTAATCCTAGTACTTTAATGCAAACAGAGGCAGGCAGATCTTAGTGTGATCAAGGCCAGCTTGATCTAACAGGCTGGGACTAATAGGGAGACCCTGTCTCAAAGAACAAAAACACAAAAAAGTCAAGTAAATTATAAAAAAATGTGCCACCAAGTCCTAACTCATGCCTATTTTTACCTTTAAAAAAAAATATATTTTATTTATTTTTATTTTCTGTGTATGAGTGTACTGCCTACATATATGTAAGTACACCTGTGTCACGCAATGCCTGCAAAGGACAGAAGAGGGCGTCAGATTCCTCTGGAACTGGAGTCATGGACAGCTGTTAGCCGTTAGGTGGGTGCTGGGAATCAAACCCTGTTCTTCTGCAAGAGCAGTTAGTGTTCTTAACTGCTGAGCCATCTCTCCAGCTCCTACCTTTCTTTGTATGTGAACGATGTTCTTTTTTTCTGCACTCTCTCATTTTTATCAAGTTTTCTCAATCTCTCAACCTCACTACTATTACTATAGTATAGTTATCAGCAAGATTCTTTCTACGAGAAGATCCTCATTCCTGGGCTGGGCATGTAACTTCGAGCACATGGTAAGCATATCTGAGGCCCTGGGTTTGATCTCAGTCCTCAAAATTACTAAATAAAAATGAACATCAGAGATACAGTTCAGACCAGCATGGGTTACAGAGCAAAATCTTGTCGCAAATAAAACAAAACTCATTTCTTTTCCAAACTGGACTGTCTTCTAGGTAGCTATTTATCCTGGGCCTACGTCCTTTATGAGTATCTGAATTAGAGCAACTCCAATATACACATTATATTTTCTGCCTTTTTCTTTCTTTCGTTAATGGGAAACTGAATCTAGGGCCTCATGCATGCCAAGGAAGCACTCACTGAATTACATCCCCAGCCCTGACTTCTCTTTTCTCAGAGTGGATCTCAGTAATGCACCATTACTCCCATCACTCCCAGCAGTGCCCTCATTCTAGTAACTACTCAGGTAACTAACTCTTCCTTTTTGAGACAGGGTCTTGTGTAGCCAGGCTGGCCTTGAAATTGCTATGTAGCCAAGGATGAACTTGAACTTCTGATGTTCTTCCTGCCTCTAACCTCCCAACTTCACCACCACACCAGGTTTATGCTACTAGATCTGGTTTATTTGGTACAGGAAACTGAACCCAGGACTTTGTGCATGCTAGGCTGGCTAATGAGCTTTAGGGATCCACTTGTCCTGTCTTCCACTGGGGTTATAGAGGTGTGCTGTCACGCCCAGCTTTCACATGGGTGCTAGGGACAGGAACTCAGGCCCTCATGCTAACGCAAGCACTTTACTGAGACACTTCCCTAAACCCCTGATTTATGTTCTTAAAATGCATTTTCTTTTCTTTAGATATTTTTTTTTCTCTGCTGTGACAACAGATAATCCTTGCTAAAAGATTAAATTTCAGAAACATTATGGTAGTGGAAAGGAATAGCCATAGTGACTGAACACATTTTTTTTCTTTCTATTTTTTGGTGGTGTAGGGATCAAAATTAGGCCCTCAGTTAGTTAGGCAAGCACCCTACCACTTAGGTATACCCTTTGCCCTTTAACAAGTCATTTTTAACATCAAAACAAATAACACAACCATAATCTGTACCAACCAGAAATTTGTAAAGTATCTTAAAGATAGAGAAACGACATCAAAGTCTACGTTATTTTGTATATCTCAAAGAACTTTTTGTTGTTTTGAGGTAAGATCTCATTCTGTATGGTACGCTACCTTCAAACTTGTGTGGCTTCCCAAGTGCGGGATTTTAGAGATGAACCACAATACCTGGCTTCAACTCATTAATTATATTTATATGTATGAGTTCAAAGAAGCAGAATATTGGGCTGGAGATGTAGTTCAGTGGTATAGTATTTGCCAAGCATTCCTAAGGCCTTCAACTGGATTCCCAGCACCATAAACAACAAAACAAAATAAAAAGCACAGATATAGGATACTGATGATTTCTAAAGCGAAGTTCTGACATAAGACAATCATAAAAACTGAGGCTCAAACAATGACAGCTAAAAGACTTTAGAAACACCTATCGGCTGAGTCAATAGTTCAATTTTTATTTTTGTTTATTTTGAGATGGTTACTTACAACTCAGGTCAGCCTTGAACTCACTATTTAACCAAGGCTGGCCTAGAACTGATCCTTCTGTCACCACCTCTCAAGGGCTAGGATACAGGGGTCTGCTACCACTTCTGCCCAGTTTTCTTTTTTTTTTTTTTTTTTTTCAGTCTTTTTGAGACAGGGTCTCCCTGTAGCCCCAGCTGTTCTGGAACTCACTATGTAGACCAGGCTGGCCTTGAACTTAGAGATCTGCCCGGCACTGCCCTGAGTGCTGGGATTAAAGGCATGCGCCACCACACCCGGCCCCAATTTTCTTATACAAAGGTAAAACAAGAATGTATGTGAGATGGGCTCAGTTGGCAGAGTGCTTACCTACTATGCACAAAGCCTTGGGTTCAATCCCTAGCACTGCATGAAAATGAGCATGATGGTACACTTTTGTACCCCCGGCACCAGAGAGGTAAAAACAGGAGGGTCATGAGTTCAAGTTGTCCTCAACTACATGAATTTGAGTCACTTAGGACTACATAAGAACCCAGGGCTCTGAACATGCACGTTATAGCTCCACCATTGAGCTACATTCCCAGTTTTCACCTGCTTTCTTATATCAACACTGTACAAATATCATTCTTTTGTTTTTGTGGAACCAATGATTAACCTGGAACCTAGCACATGCTAGAAAAGTGCTCTACCACTGAGCTACATACCATTTCTTTTTACTTTTTATTTTGAAGCAGGGTCTAAGTTGCCCAAGTTGACCTTGATGAACTCACTCTGAAGCACAGGCTGGCCTCCTGAGTAGCTAGAACTATAGGCCTGCACCATTAAGTGTGACATCAATATTTTTTTAAATTTTTTCATTTGAGTATTTTACCTGAATGTATATAAGTGTACCACATACATGCAATACCCATGGAGGCCAGAAGAGGGTGTCGGATTCCTTGGAACTGGAGTTATAGATGGTTGTTAGCTACCACATAGGTGCCAGGAACAAATGTTGAGTCCTCTGCAAGAGCAGCCAGTGCTCTTAACTGCTGAGCCATCTCTTGAACCCCTTCTAAATTGTTTTAGTGGTTGCATACAGAACAAATATATTTCTAAGATGTGAGATCATACTTAAAATGGTAAGGTACATACCACTCACTGCTGGTGGGAAGATATATCAGTATTTTGGGCATTATTTTTATTAAAGTCCATGATACTGCAATTCTTTATGGAAAATTTGAATATATGCAAGAAGGCACATAAAAAGATAAAAAGATGCTAATAGTCTCCTCTAGAAAGGGAGGCAAGATGACAGGAGAACAAAAGAAGGCTGGTGACCTTTCGCTATGTACCCTTGTACTATGCTCACTAATGCTTCCCTAGATCTCACAGTTGTACTTACCAGAATTTTGTCAGCTTTGGCTTCACTAATCCCTTTAATATTTATGAGCTCCTTCTTTGGTGCATAGGCAACAGCCTCTACAGTATGGAATCCAGCTTCTTCTAATTTCTTCACATCATTGGCATTTATGCCACACTGCTGTAAGAAAACAATGGATAAACTTTGGCTTCTGTTCTCTTGTATGTTGACTATCCACTTCACAAAGGTGTTTGAAAAATCACAATATATGAAAAATCTGAGAATTATGTCCTACATATGAAATATTAAATAACAAATCACCAACTTTTTCATCATCAAAACTAACAGTTTTGGGCTGAGAAAATAGCTCAGTTGGTAAAGTGCTTGGCATGCAAACATGAGAATCTGAGTTGGCGTCCCAGAACCTGTGTAAATGGTGCTCACCAGTGCTGAGGAGACAGATATTGTAGTCTCCCAAGGCTCACGGGCCAGTCAGCCTCAGCTAATTGGTGAGCCCCAGGTCAACAAGATAGTCTATCTCCAAAAACATCAAGGTAGGTGACTCCTGAGGAATAGCATCTAGGATTGACCTGTGACTTCTACATGTAGGCACATGTGCATACATACAGTTTTAAATCAGCACTATGCTAGCTATATTACAATGGACTTAAGAACTGAGATTAAACCAGTAACTCCTAACCTTTGTGAATATTTCTATAAAATGACCTTTGAAACCTTGAACCCAAAGCAACTTTTAACCAGTGTTTCCCAATCCTTTTTCCCTATCAACACACACAGAAAATGTCACTTCACTCTATGCTAAGATGAACAAACAAGGCTACCCCAGAACTGAGAGCACTGTCTTGGTAGATCAATCTTTTTCTTTTCTCTCTTTTCTTTTCTTTTCTTTTCTTTTCTTTTCTTTTCTTTTCTTTTCTTTTCGAGACAGAGTCTCCTTGTAGCCCCAGCTGTCCTGGAACTCACTATGTAGACCAGGCTGGCCTCGAAGTCACAAAGATCCGCCTGCCTCTGCCTCCCAAGTGCTGGGATTAAAGGCATGCACTACCACACCCAGCCCTTTTTCTTTTTTTTTTAAAGACAGTCTCACTATGTAGCCCTGGCTGGCCTGGAATTTTCTACATAGACCAGGATGGTTTCAAACTCGTAGAGATCCGCCTGCCTCTGCCTCCCAAGTGCTGGGATTAAAGGCATGTGCCACCACTCCCTGTCACATAATTTTTTGAGACAGGGTCTCTTACTGAACCTAGGATTCACTAATTGTCTAAACTGGTTGGTGAGCAAACCCCAGTGATCCTCCTGTCTCTACTTCCTCAGTGCTAAGATTATAGCAGCTAGCCTTCCCTATCCACAGGGAGGCACATGCCACAGGGTTTGGTTTTTTTGTGGGTGCTGGGGAGCCAAATTCATGTCTTCACTGTTTCCATACCAAGCCTTTCACCCACTGAGCCATCTCCCCAAGCCCATTTTGCTTTTTGAAACAGGGTCTCAACTTTGAAGCCCAGGCTTACTTTGAACTTTTGGCGATTTTTCTGCATTATCCTTCCAAGTGCTAGGATTACATATGTGAGCAACCATATCCAGATAATGTTTGGTATTCTTCAGATAAAGTCCTAAAATGCAGCTGGGTCTTTTTGAAACAGGGTCTCCCTGTAGCCCTAGGCCCTGGCCTGGAACTCACTATATAGAGCAGGCTGGCCTTGAACTCACAGAGATCTACCTGCCTCTGCCTCCCAAGTGCTGGGATTGTGTGCACCACCACACCTGGCTTAATAACCCTACACCTTTCAACCTGTCTTAGAACAGCTTTCTCAGTAGTAACTTCAACCTGAGCCAATGGAGGGAAGCTGCTTCCCTTTCTTACATGCATACCTGCTCCACAACAGTGTAATTCCCTGGCCAGCATTTTCATACTTAGTACAAGCAACACTGAGATTCTACTATGGGAGCCTAGGCCTTAGTCTCTAAAGTCCAGCTCTTAGAGAGAAAACAACAGAGTAGGAAGAGAATTATTGATAAAAGAGACTTGACCAGACATATTTAATAACAATCCTGCACCTTTCCATGGGAGCCCTTAACAAGAGCCTGAAATCCTAATTTGAGTTTTGACCAACAGTTTATGTAAGGGTTAACATGTCCCATTAGGTAAAGGAATGTAGTACAGCATTATAACTAAATAATTAGCAACTAAAAACATACCTCTAAACGTGAAATAGGTTGTGGACCAAAGCTTTCTTCTTCCACTGAAGTATCTGCATTTGCTTCAAGCTGCATCTGCATTGCCATTACTAAAAAATACATATAGCCATTTAGTGTGAACACTAGAGAAATAATCTGTGGTAATAAAGAGCTGAAAATTTAGTTCCCAAACACACTTTGAGGAACTGCAGCTGGCCCTCCCTATCCACAGGTTACCCATCAAGGATTCAACCAATCCTGGATTGAAAATATTTGGTAAAAAAAGTTAAAGGGGGGCTGGAGAGATGGCTCAGCGGTTAAGAGCACTGACTGCTCCTGCAGAGGACCCGGGTTCAATTCCCAGCCCCCACATGGTGGCTACAAACCGTCCTTAACTCCAGTTCCAGGGTAATCCGAAGCCCTCTTCTGACCTCTGTGGCATTGCATGACACGGGTGCCCTCACATACATGCAGGCAAATACACTTATACACATAAAATAAAAATAATAAATATTAAAAAAAAAGATAAAGGGGCTAGAGAGATGGCTCAGCGGTAAAGAGCAATGGCTGTTCTTGCAGAGAACCCAGGTTCTGTACCCAGCACCCATATAATGGCAAACAACTGTCTATACCTCTAGTTCCAGGGGATATAAAGCCCTCTTCTGGCCTGCACGGGCATTGCACACACAGGTGCACTTATATACATGCAGGCAAAACACTCATACACACAAAATAGAGTAAATAAATAAATTTGGTTTGGGTGTAGATCAGTGGTAGAGCACTACTCAGTAAATGTGAGACCCTGGGTTAAACCCCTGGCACTAAAACAGTGAAGAGAAAACCCACAGAATGGGAAAAAATCTTCACCAGTGACATATCTGACAGAAGTTTAACATCCAGAATATATAAAGAACTCAAAAAACAAAGAATCGAGACACCAAATGACCCAATTAAAAGATGGGCTAAAGATCTAAACAGAGAGTTCTCAAAGGAAGAAATAAAGATGGCTAAGAAACATCTCAAAAAGTATTCAACATCGTTAGTAATTAGGGAAATGCAAATTAAAACCACCCTAAGGTAGCACCTTACCCCAATCAAACTGGCTAGGATTAAGAGAACAAATAATATCAAATGCTGGCAAGGATGTGGAGAAAGGGGAACGCTCATTCACTGCTGGTGGGACTGCAAACTCATGCAGCCTCTATGGAAAACAATGTGGAGAACTCCTAAAAAACTAAAAATGAACCTACCATATGACCCGGTTATACCACTCCTTGGCATATACCCAAAGGACTCAGCCTATTGTAGAGACACTTGTACAACCATGATTGTTGCTGATCATTTCACAATAGCTAAGAGATGGAAGCAACCTAAGTGTCTCTCAACTGACAAGTGGTTAACAATAATGTGGTATATTTACACAATGGCGTTCTATTCAGCAGTAAAGAAAGGTGAAATAATGAAATCTGCAGGTAAATGGATAGATCTAGAAAACTGTTATACTAAGTGAAGTAACAGACTCAGAAAAACAAATGACGTATGTTCTCCCTCATATGTGGCTCCTAGCACCAAACCCTTTTAAATTCCAGGTCCATTTTACATGATGCTATACAGCAGTCCCTTCTCCATGAAATAACTACCATCATCATGACTTCGCTGGGCCTGATCGCTAAACATAGTCACAATTGTTGACAGTTGTGCTCATTCATTAAAAGGAGTGCCAAGCAGGGTCACTGGACCCTCACCTGAATATCCAGCCACTCTTCCTAGCCAAGTAGTCCAGCCTTGGAAGACAAAAGAAAAATGAGGAAGAACCTGAGAGAGGGATGCTTCTTATGCAATTCAGGAGTCTTTTAGATAGACGCACTGAAGGGGTAATCCAGTTGCCTCACCCTGCAGTCCCTGTTCAGCATGGAAGAAGCCAGAGCGGTCTGCGTCCCGATCCCTTATTGGTAATTCGGGTAATCCCTTGAGAGGATGGTGTGATAAGAGTAGGAGGTAGGAATTGGCTAGGCAGTTAGGGTGAAAAGACTCCAAAGAAAAGTAGCCAGCTTCTTGGCTAAAAGTCAACATGTCCTTGGGCCTCTTAGCAATATACTCCATTCCTAAGGCCAAAAATGTTGAAAGTATTTGGGAGCTTGTATCTAATCCTTAAAAGATTTTAGGGTTACATCTTCAGTGGGGGGAATGTTAGAGTACCCAAAAGCCCCATAAAAATAAATAAATGAAAGAAGAAAAAAAAGAAAAAGAAAAAAGTGATGTGGAGATATGGGAAGTGTTGGAAGGGAGGGAGTGGGCACGGATTTGATCAAAACACCTTATATGCATGTATGAAATTCTCAATAAAGTTTTATAAAAATTAGAAAAAAAAAAAACCACCCTGGCACTAGGGGTAAGGGGGGGATATTCTAAATATGTATAAACATATTTTATTAAATACATTTATTTTAATATTTATTAGTCTCCAAACAATATAATGTAACAACTATTTACACAGGATTTACATTTTATTAGATGTTATAAACAAACTAGAAATTATTTAAAGTATATGGGAGAATGGGCATAGGTCATATGCAATACAACATTATTTTATATAAGGTAACTGAATATATATATATTTGGTATGGGAGAGGGAGGCACACTGGCACCAATCCTCAGAGACTATTGTACTTGTAAGCCTTTGATCTAATCCCTAACCTATCCATAACAAGAAAAAGAGCAAGCCTTTCATCATTGCTCTAGATAACTTATATTACTATTCTAGAGCATTGGGACACAATGTTGTCATCTATAAAGTTCGTTAAAGAACAACCAATCTAGTTACCAAAAAAACAAACAAAAATACCTCATGCTTTGAGTAAGTTTATGACTTTGTGTTGGGCCACATTCACAGCTATCCTCTGCTGCATGCAGCACAGAGCCACAGGTTAGATACACCTGCTAGATAGACAGCTAACAGTATCAGAAAAACTTCCAGAAGAGCCAGGACCTTTCAGCTTCTTTTTTTTTTTTTTTGAGGTAGAGTTTCATGTAACCCAAGCTGGCCTTAAACTTGGTATATAGCTAAGGACATATAGCCTTAAACCTCAGATCCTCCTGCTTCCACCTCCATCACATTGAGATAACAAATGTGCACCATCACACCCGGTTTATTCAGTGCTAGAGAGAATCCAGGGCCTCGTGAAAGCTAGCCAAGAACTCTACCAACCCCAATCTCCATTCAGTTTCTTGTGTACTTATTTAATAACTCATCTGCTCCAATTTGTGGAGTCCATATACTTCTGGATGTGGAACCATCCACTGGAGCATGGTCAACCTACCAGGAGCCACACCCCTGAAGAAAACTGACTCTTGATTCCCTAGAAGCCATCAACTGTCTACAGCTCCTCAGTCAGGGGTAAGGGGTTGTGATCCCATCCCACTCCATGCTAGAATGTTGACTGCTTTTATTAGGCAACCACAGCTGTCGTGAGTTCATGAGCATAGTAGTCCTGTTATACATAGGACACGGTTTCCCTCCAGTCCCTCCCAATCTCTGGCTCTTACAGTCTCTGCCACCTTTGTTTTGTTTTTTGAGACAGAGTGTGACTCTGTGGTTCAGGCTGTTCTGGAACTCAGTCTGGTCTCAAGCTTTCAACAATCCTCCTGCCTCAGCCTGCTGAGTGGTGGTAGGATTACAGGTGTGAGCTACAAAGCCTAGCCAACTCAGTTTATTTTTAAAAATTATTAGGTTATGATTTGTGGTGGGCATACATGCCATGGGAAGCATGTACAAGTGGAAGAAAAACTCTATAGTCTATTCTCTCCTTCCTTCTCTATTGGGTTCCAGAGATTGAACTCAGGATGCTAGGCTTGTGTGGCAAGCGCCTTCACCCACTGAACCACCTAGCCTACCCCCATTCAGTTTAAGCACATCTTAACTGGACCAATGACGTCCTCTGTTCTCTTGATCGCTACTCCTCCAGGGCAGGGGCCAAAGCTTGTTTATTATAAATAGAAAAAGTTAGAACGGTTTCAGTTACATTGTTTCTGTTCGGTAAGGGAGGTTTGTAGGAGAGGGAACAGGGCAGTGAAATGAAGGTTTAGAATGGTTGCCCATAAATCCCAATTCCTGATAGAAAAACAGTAGTTAAGTAGCTCCCATCTCAGAAGAACTGTAACTTAAAATCTTTTAAAAAATCCAGAACAACTGAGTTTAAAATATTATGTGGTAGTTTGGAGAGATGGCTCAGTGGTTAAGAGCACTGACTGCTCTTGCAGAGGACCTGGGTTCAATTCCTAGCACCCACATGGCAGCTAACAACCATCCATAACTGCAGTTTCAAGGAATCTGATGCCCTCTTCTAACCTCCGTGGGCACTGCACAACTTGGGTGCATTGCAGGCAATACACTCACACACATAAAATAAAAATAATAAATAAAGAAAAAAGTATGTCTTTTAAAAATTTTTTTATTATTTTTATTTTATGTGTATGAGTGTTATGCCTGCATGTAGGTAAGTGCACCCATGTCATACAATGCCCACAGAGAACAGAAGAGGCTATCTGATCCCCTGGAACTGGGGTTACAGACAGTTGTTAGCTGCCATGAGGGTGCTGGGAGTCAAACCCAGGTCTTCTGCAAGAACAGTCAGTGTTCTTAACCGCTGAGCCATCTCTCAAGTATGTCTTATGCCCACAAAAATAAATGATTTACGCTGGGCATGATGGCAAATGCCTGTAACCCCAAAACTCAGAAGGATCACAGTTGGAGATCCATCTGGGCTACACAGCAAGTTCCAAGTCTATCTACACTATATAGCAAGAAGTTTTCAAAATATCAGAATATAAGCCAGGTGTGGTACCTCATGCCTTTAGTTCCAGCATTCTGGAACCTAGGGCAGATGCATCTGTGTGAGTTTGAGGCCAGCCTAGTCTACACAGCAAGTTCCAGGCCAGTCAGGGCTATACAGTGAGATGCTGTTTCAAAAAATCAAAAAGGAAAATATTTTTATGTTCTTGGGAGAGAATTCTTGAACTACGTACACAAAGCAACAACCAAATAAGAAAAGACAGGGTGGGAATAAAGCAGAGTGGTAGAGCACTGGCTTAGCATTCATGAAGTCCTGGGTTTGATCCCTACCACTGCAAGAAACTGGGCATGGTAGTCATGCCTATAATCACAACACTTGGGAGGTAGACAGGAAGATCAGGAGTTCAAGATTATCCTGTTTCATAGCATGTTCCAGGCCAGCCTGGACTACCTAAGAAATAAACACACATAGGACTTCTATCCATCAATGGTACCATTAAGAGCATGGAAAAATCAAATCATAGTAATGGAGAAAACATTTACAGAAACATAATCACAGCTGGGGCTACAGAGAGACCCTCAAAAAAAAAAAAAAAAAAAAAAAAAAAAAAAAGACAACTCAACAGAAATTGGTTAATTCAAAAGGGGAGATCTTCATGCCAAAAACATTGAATATGCAGTCTCATCAGTAATCAGCCTTAAGTACTCAGAAGGCTAAGGCAGAAAGACTGCTAGAAGTTCAAGGCCAGGCTGGGCAATACAGTGAGACTGTGTCTCAAAAATCAAGTCCCCTGCCCCCTACAAAGTCCACAAGACACTACTATCTATCTATCTATCTAAAATATCAGGTGTTGGCAAGCATGTAGAATTAAACATTCAACATTGGTGGTATATTTACATGAAATTTAAAAACAGACTAAATGCACTAAAGAAGCAGAGGCAGGATAGTGAGTTCAAGGTCAGCCTGGGCTGAATTAAAAAATAAAAACAGGGCTGGAGAAATGGCTCAGCAGTTAAGAGCACTGACTGCTCTTGCAGAAAGGATCCAGGTTCGATCCCCAGCACCCACATGGCAGCTAACAACCATTAATAACTCCAGTTCCAGGGGATCTGACGCCCTCTTCTGACCTCAGGCATTGCACAACTCGGATGCACTTACATATATGCAGGCAATACACTCATACACATAAAATAAAAATATTAAAAAAATATAAAAACTAAAGCCGGGTGTGGTGGTGCACACCTGTAGTCCCAGCACTTGGGAGGCAGAGGCAGGTGGATCTCTGGGAGTTCAAGGCCAGCCTGGTCTACATAGTGAGTTCCAGGACAGCTCATCCTACAGTGATTCCCGGTCCAAAAAAGCCCAAAAAAAAAAAATATATATATATATATAAAAAACTAAAAAGTTTGCATGGCACACACCTGTAATCTCAGCACTTGGGAGGCAGAGGCAGGAAGATCCAGAGTTTTAGGTCATCCTAGCCTACAAAGTCAGACCCTGCCTAAATAAATAAAACACTTTTAAAATTAGACAAAGTTAGTGAATAGCATTAGAAATCACTATGATTTAGCCACTAAGGTGAGAGGGTAATATTCAACATGGAAGGCCAAGGGAAGTTTCTAGGGCACTGACGGCCTTATTACTTTACCAGGATGATGATTATATAGATGTATTCATTTTGTAATAATTCATGGGGCTGTAAACATGATTTTACAGTTTACACTTCAAAGTATTTTATTTTTTTCTTTAAGTCTATGAGTGTGCTGCCTGCATGTATGTAAGTGCACTCGTGTCTTGCAATGCCAGTGGTGGTCAGAAGAGGGCGTTGGATCCCCTAGAACTGAAGTTAAGTACAGCTGGTAGTTGCTGTGTGTGTGTGCTGAGATTCGAACCCTGGTCTTCTGCAAGAGCAGACAAATGACCACTGACCACAAGTAACCAATGAGCCATCTCTCCAGCCCTACACTTCACTTTAAAAAATTTTCTGAGATATGTTCTCCCATTAGTAGTCCAGGCTGGCCTTGAACTTGCAGCCATCCTCCTGCCTCTGCCTACCAAGCCTTAGGATTATAGGTGTGAGTCGCCTGGCCAGGATCCACTTGAGAGATTGTTGTATTTGAGGCAATTCCACTCTGCTGCCTAGGCTCGCCTTGAACACGAGGCGATCCACCTACCTCGGCCTCCAGGGTCCTAGGATTACAGCAAGAGCCACAATGCCAGGCTCCACTGTAGAAACTTTAAAAAAAAAAATCTCACGTGAACGTATACCACTATGTGAGCGGTTTTCTACAAAAAATGCCATCTTTTAAGCATCTGGAGATTGGCGCTTTGTAAACAAGACATAGTGTAACGGGATGAAAACTGACCCAAAATCGGGACTCCCTGGCCTGACACTCATCAGCTGTGAGCACTCCGCTCTGCACCGCGGCTTCCTGCCGCGCGTCCACAAAATGGGCTTTTGGAATGCTCTTAAAGTCTGTAATTCCAGTATTTAGGATGACTGCTACGAGTTCGAGGCCAGCCTGGACTACCGAGACAGTCTCAAAACAAAAGCCCGAGGTCGACTTCCGCTTTCTCCACAACGAACTCTTGGTCGGTCGGGGTTGGTCGCTTGGCGCAGGCCAGGAACCCTGAAGCACCACCTTCAGGGTTCTCGGCGCAGAGGGGATCCCAGCGGGCTGGAGGGGCAGGCCCGGGCCGGCTGAGGAGCCGAGCAGGGCGGAAGAAGGGTTAGTCCGCACATGCACTTACCAGGGCCCGGCGCTCCCTCCCTCAGCGGCTTAGCCCGCACCACTCGCACCCGGGTCACCCGCTCCTCGGCTGCTTTACCAGGTCACCTGCAGAACACGCGCGAACTCCTAATGCTTCGCGGGCACCTCAGTTTTCCCAAGTCCCGGGTCAGCGCGCAACTCGCACTACTGGCGCGACTTTCAGAAATCCCGCCAGTCCCTCACGGACCGGGTCACGCCCGCATGACGTCATCCCGCCCCTCTCGGACCCTCCTTACATCCACTTCCGCTTCTGCTGAGAGCCTGAAGGACAGGCCCAAGGTGTTTGAATCTGCGTGATACTGCTCGTCCCTTCTTACTAAGGACTTACTAAGGACCTGCGGGTCATGCTCGTCCCTTCTTAACTAAGGACTATTCTGGTTTTGGGAGTTGCTACCTGCGCTTTACCGAACTGAAGACTACAAGTCCCAAAAGGTGGTGCGGTCAGCTCGGGACTACATGTCCCAGTATGCACTTCTGCGGGCGTCACTACTCTGGAAAAACGGAGCTGGTTTGACCCTTGACCTTTCGGTTGCTCTGGGAGCCAGGTGCTTTAACAGGTTTCTGGGTAGGAGAGGTAAAGAAGCTGTTAAAGAGGAAAAACAAAGCCAGCTAGTAGCAAGAAATAAGTCTCGGATTCAGTGGGTTATTAAAAAAAGGGGTGGGGGTGCTGGAAAGATGGCTCAGCCATTAAGAGCACTGACTGCTTTTGTATAGGATCTGGGTTCGATTCTCAGCACCCACATGGCAGCTACCAACTGTCCATAACTCCAGCTCCAGGGGAATTCGACGCCCTCTTCTGACCTCTCCTCGGGTATTCCACGACACGGGTGCACGTGCAGGCACTTACACATAAAAAAATAAAATATTAAAAAGAAAGGACATGAAGTTGGGAGGGGGATGGAGAATCTGAGAGCAGTCGGAAGAGAAGAGTGGGGAGTGGATATGATTTCAGTATGGTTGTGTACTTGTATGAAATTACCAATAATTAAGCGCAGTCTGTGGTGTTCTGGATATTTGTGGGATTCCAATGAAAGAATTGGATAACTGAATGAATAAACTTTAGTGTGGCGTACCAGAAACTTTGACCTGTGTTTCCAGGGTTTTTTTTTTTTGGGGGGGGGTATTTGTTTTTTAATTATTTTCATTTAATGTGTATGAGTGTTTTCCCTGCAGGAGTGTAAGTGTACCTGTGTTGTGCAATGCCCAAGGAGGTCAGAAGACCGTGTTTAATCCCCTGGGACTGGAGTTAGGATGGTTGTTAGCTGCTGGCATGTGGATGCTGGGAATCGAACCCAGGTCCTCTGCAAGAACAGTCAGTGCTCTTAACCACTGAGCAATCTCTCCAGTTCCTGTTTGTTTTATAATGTGTAGGACTGTTTTGCATGCCTGTACGTGCACCCATCTGTGCAGTGCCCACAGAGGCCAAAAGAGGGCATCAGATTACCTGAAACTGGAGTTAAGGACTGTTGTTAACCACCATGTGGGTGCTAGGAACTGAACCCTGGTCTTCTGCAAAAACAGCCAGTGCTCTTAACTGTTGAGCCATCCCTCCAACATGCCCCCCCCCACCCCCACCCCACA